TGAGTTATTTAACTTATTTTCATGAATCGTGATTTATAATTACGATAGTTTCCTCTTTCCGGTGTTGTTTAGGGTTTAGGGAAATTAGAAATTTGGAATTGGGGGAAATTAAAATTGGATTTGGAATTGAATTTGGATTGGGATTTGGAAGTGGAAGTGGAATTGGAATTGAATTTAGGGTTTAGGGTTTGGAATTGAATTTGGAATTGGGGGAATTAGATATTTGGATTTGGTATTGGATTTATGAACATTGGCACTTTTCTACATTACCAACGAAATATAATGATACTTCATTGAATTATGTAAGAATATCATAAAACACATTCTTTATTTTAGGATAGGAATTAAGTCAACCTCGGTTGAAAATGAGGTAATATTGCAACGATTTCAAAGCATGAGATCCCGTAAAATGCAGTTGTCTAAGATAACAGTTACAGAGTGGGTTGTATTGTGTATTTCTTTAGAATTTTGGGTTATACTGAATTATGTTTTCATATATATATAATTTTTACGTTTTAATGCGTTTACATATATATTGAGTAATTTTTAATATTATTTAATTAAATATTAATAAACGATCTTGATTTTACGATCGCTGATTGTCAACGTTGATCGGTCAACGTCCGCTCGGGATGAGATTCAAAGTTGGGTCCGCCACTGCTCCTACATATATATAAAGAACCATATGGCCCGTGAAACTTTTTGTCTTAGGCCGATGGAAGATAAATAAAATTTGAATGTTGAAATGTAATGTGAGATAGTAGGGCTAGTTGAACGAGTTAATCTTACGTGTTGACAGGTGATCGAGAAAATGTGGTGAAGTGGGCTTGGTGAACCCGCTACAATACTCAGAATCCGTCCAACCCACAAAAATTCTCAAGTCGTCCATGATCCAATCGTAGACGAGAAGTTTTGGACTACTTTGAAATATGTCCGATTTGATTCACAACATGACTAGGCAAGCTAACTAAAAAAAGTAAGAAAAATGAGAGAATGGATTCTGTATCTGGTAACTCAAAAGAAAAAGAAAGAGCAAAAGTTCCACTAGTTTCCTTTGGTCACAAGACTTGGACCTCTTTATAGGGGACAATTCGGGGTTACACTTCCATCTTTATCTTATGATGTTGACTATGACCAAATCTTTTCCTTAGGACTACTTCATAGGTTTCCTCTTCCTCACCCTCAAATCTATCTATTTTGCTTGACTTCTTACTTTTCCTTGCTCCACCCACCCCTACAACACTTTTTTAACACAAGCCTGATCTCATGTCTTCAATGGATAGAGACTTCCCACAAATAATGTGGCAAGAGACTCACTGAGAACACGAGATCAATTTCATTCTTTAACATTACATGAAAAAGTGGATTGGGTAAAAAATATCACTAAATATGGGTGACAATGACACAATTCGATTCTTAGACGCTAAAGCTCAACTAGATCATTTGGCTCATGGGCCTCGTGGATCAAGTAGAGTCATCCACAAGCTAAAGAGTAGACTCGTTTAAAAAAATAATAATTAATTTATTTTTTAGACAATGCGTTAGTAATTACATAAATTTCCATTCATCGAATATAATTATTCTACCTCAACAGTACATGAGAAATTAAAGTCGATCCTGTCAACAAAGACATCACTAGACCAATCCCAAACACATTCTCTTTCTTTAGATCTCTTAGAAAGAGAAAGAAACAAGTGGGAAACTGGAGATTCATACATTATTCCAGTTGTATCTTGTTGCTTTTGAGGAATGTATTTTTAGAAGTTGGTGACTTGTACTGTAATTTAACTTTCTTTTTTTCCCATATATACTTGCTTGCATGCATGCAAAGTAATTGAAGTCCACGTAGCACGTCAATTAATGGTAATGATTAGTCCTTTTCTTGGGTTAGTGCAATATTCTACTTATACATTATGTCATCCATTATAGATGTCTGGCACACCCTCCAATAATATACTGCCACTTGTACAAGTAGCACAACCTATATTTGAAATAGAATTTGATTGATGCTATTTAATTTCGTTGGGGGTTATCATCTCATGTTGATGTGACAATAATTTGACTTTTTATTTTGCTTATCATCTAACGCCACTTAAATTGAGGTGACATAACACGATCATTATTCAAAGAATTTGGTCAACAGGGGTCCCACTAAATAACACCATCATTACATAATACTAATGTATCTATTTCCAATGTGTATACTCGTGGGGTTTGCATGATTAAGCAAATCCCAGATCAAATTATATACTCGAAATTCTTAAAAGACATTTGCGTCAAAAGACAAAAATCTTCCCACTGTCGACCCAAGTCCCCATGGAAGTTGGACTGCACATCCACCATTTCTTTATTCTGATAAGAGATAAATTTTGAGTCATATAGACCATGTTTGACCACCTTTAATTTAATATAATTGTTATTGCATAATCGTTTTTAATCTCCATCAAATACCCTCTAAGTACTCCAACATGTTCTTTATCTTTAATACTTAATTTTATCACTCACAAAAAATATTCATTGTTTTTACCTATCTTTCACTTCACTAGCTTTCCTTCAAATTATTATATTATTTTCCTCCATTAAAAATTTGAAATTCTCTTAATGCATTTAATTATGGAGAGTAGGTCTGACTCTCCAAATTACTTTCTCTATTTTAAAATATTAATTTGAAAAATCATTTGTAACATAATTTTAAGTGTACTTTTTAAAATAGAGTTATGTTTAAAGAATCCAATGTGTATTACTGCATATTGAAAATGTGGCGACAAATTACTTATTGCATCGGGGAATGTGAAGAAATACAACTCAAGGCTCGTAACATTGTTCATCAAAGATTTTATTGGAGTTCACAATGAGAATAGATGGCATCTTTTGGGAATTAATGGTGGTCTTCCCAGTCGAACAATTGACATCAATCTCAAGACGACATGACTCTCTCTCTCTCTTCTTTTTGCTGCTTTGAATCTTTTGATCGAATCGATCGGTACTCCAGAGGTGTTTGCTCGGGCAGATCATCAATGTGGGGGCCCCTTTGGTGTTTTTCTCAGGAATATTATATATATTTTTCTAGTTTTTGGTTTTTGAAATATTAAGGTACATAGGTACCAGGCAGTTGTAGCTTTTCTTTTCCAAGTTGTCAAGTTTGAGTCAAAGATTTGTGCAAACCATGAAGAACATACGTTGCTTTGATGATTGGGAGTATCCCATTCGAATCATACCTTTATCTCTTTCACTTTTTTCTGTGTCTTGCTGTTACCAACAAATTTTAGATCTTCTACTACTTCTATGTATTAGTTTATTTTAGGCTCTTTTGATTACGAATTATAAAAAACAAAAGTTCTAAGACTAGATTCTTTATTCACAAAAGAGCTTCTAGTGAACCCATAAATTTTAAGATTCTGGTATGAAACGTGTAAAGCACAATTCGAGATCAAATCTGATGTTTATTTCAAACTTTTGGTCTCGAAGGTGGGATATCGAAGATTAGTAAACTCTATACTTAATGTCTGTACTTTCAGTTCGAGTCCACTCAGAGCCACTAAGGTGAGTATCCGGTCGTAAACCTCAGGGTTTCGTGAGATTAGTCGAAGTACGCCCAAAATGGTCCTGACATCCACGGTTATCAAAAAAAATATTTTATCTCTCGAGAATGATAAAGTACAAACAATATTTTGTAAGAAAATGATGCAAATTGATAGGTTTATTATGCAGGAAAATCAAGGGGAACAAAGAACACTATTTAGGCATCATATATAACAACATATCATCAATCTGATTTATAGATGGTAAAATATGTTATCAAGAGTTAGAACCATCCATAAGAATCACATCACTTCATATTTTTGGTTACATAGCTGAATTCAACAGAAAATAGGTGAAAAATCGAAGAAAATATGAACAGGTGCATAAACGCCTATGCTGGTGCGAGTCGGAGCAAACGCCCAAAATCTTGTGGACGGCCACCTTCGGTCATGGAGAAAACCGTGTGCATGCTGTGGCCTGGTCTCCAAAGGCTTTGGGCGCGCCATAGTGTTTGATCTCCATCTCAAATTGCGTATTCGGAACACTACTTTCAGTTATTTTATAATAATTTAAATTTACCTTTAAAATGAACATATTCTTGCTACGAGAAAGAATTATAGAATTATGTAATTCGTACTTTGTTCCGAATTATACAGATTTAATTTTTCTGTGTTCAAAATATACGAAACTATATGATCGGATCACCTACATGATACAAGATATTAGTGGTGACTGAATTTACTTTAATGGAGAAATGCTATCAATATTCTCTTTTATCCGGTACGGTCCGAGACTTGTCACATCACACACGGCTTTATTAGCACGTAGAGACGTAAGATCTACTGTGTAAAATTATATGTTAGACCAAGACGAATCACGTGATAATATAAATATACGTTTTTATGTACCATTAGCTTCAAGAAGATGAAGATGGCCTTCCAACATCTTTTCATACATACAATTGTATACTACTACCTACCAAATAATTATTGTGAATATTTTTCGTTTCTTTATTTTTTTTAATAAAATCTTTTTATTTCATTTTTTTAATAAAGAAAATAATGTACATGAAATATTATTTTTTGTACAATTTTAACTCCTACTACATATCATTTAGTCGATCCCAAACTCGAACAAAGGAAGAGTGTTTTTAGATTATTATAATTTTTTTTGACAAAATAAAAATTTCTTACAAATTTACGTCGAATTATACTTTGGTGATCAAAATGTCAGTTTTCAATTTTTTTTTAAAAAAATAAATAAAAACATGGAGTGCAGGTGCTGACTGGTCTTTCGCCATTTTATTACCTTTATAAAGCCAGCAGACAGCATAGATCACACACCCTCTCTCTTACACTCAAAGTTCTCTCGTCTCAACTCACAGTTTACTCAGTGACCTCTCTGCATTACTTATTCCCCATTCATTTTCTTATCTTTGAACAACATTTTCTATTGAAAAAAGTTGAGAAATCTTCAATATGATGCATAGATGCAACGTGGATTCATGTTCTTGTGGATTGTTTCACAGTCAAAACAATTCTTTTTCAATTCCAAATTCTAATGGTTATGATGAAGGAGGGGATATGGATATGTATTCGTATTCGTATTCTGGGGATATGTATTCATCCTCTTCGTCTTCTGTTGATTGCACTCTTTCTCTAGGCACGCCTTCTACTCGTGCCAGTAATGAGAATGAAAAGCGACGCTCTAACTTTGGTTGGAGTAAGGCGGCGCCGTCTTCCTCAGCCAACAGAAACCACCGTGGCGGAAGTAACAGCAATGCCAATTCCGGCGGTGACCCACTCTTGGCTCGGCGATGTGCGAATTGTGACACCACTTCTACTCCCCTCTGGAGGAACGGTCCAAGAGGCCCAAAGGTATATACATTTTCAAGAATTTCTTTTCTTTTCTTTGTTAACTAAACATTACTGTGAAGACTGAAGAGTGGAGACTAATGGCTATGAATTTTGCAGTCACTTTGCAATGCTTGTGGGATTCGTTTCAAGAAAGAAGAGAGAAGAGCGACGGCAGCCACCAATAATGGCGGTGGTGAACACCGAGTTATGGACGGTTCATGGATTCATCACAACTCACAGACCCAGAATACGCCTTGCTTTTCTTCATCGTACAGTAATGAATACAGGTTCATTGAAGATGATGATCGTGAATCTGATACGGGCATGCCCTTCTCTTGGCGTTTCAACGTGACAGACGGGTCCAGCTACGTTCATGACTTCACAAGATAGAAAAAAGAAAAGAAAAATCCTTACTACTCGACTCGATTCAATTGTACAAAATTGAATCAGTCCTATCAAATACTGCATATTATAAATGTGCCCGAAATTAAGAAAGTGAAAAGCCTTCATTTGATGTTGATGTTGACGTTGAAGGTGGTGATAGACTGATAGCTATATCTTCTTTTATTCTTTTCTTTCAGCTGTTATTTTCTTTTGTTTTTATGTTCATTTTACATAATATGGAGTGAAAATGAGTTGATTCTATGTTTGTTAATTTGCTTTTCTTTAGCTTTCACTTTTTTTTTCCTCTTTGATCAGTCGTCAGTCTATAAACACTACTACTTTTTCGCATTTGTCCATTTCATACTTTATTTTCTTCGTAAACTTGCTTATTTTGAATTTCTTGAGCACCTAAATTGCATAACTGGTACATTGCTGATCTACTATCATTCTTTTTTTATTCTGATCCAATTAGTAGTTCCTTCACAGAATACTCCTTCTAACAATATTGGCATCTTATCATATTCACCAAACTATGTGGCGTAGCCCCACAACCGCAGTTCTAGCCGACGACGTTGTGGTAAGGCTAGAACACATAGCTAATACACACGAGTTAGCATACGAGGCCTTTAGAGTTTTTCCTCGATAGCTCATTTGATTTAGAGGTATTATCGCATCCTTAACGTAGCACTCAGAGTATAGCAATACTCTATTGTTAACCACAGGCTCTCTCGGTGCCCATCAAAGGCCTAATGCCACTTGATGTGTTCGATCCTGCACGAATACTTTGGCCCTCCTCGGAGGTTCTTACAGTGGGCCTTTAGTTGTCCATGCGGCCCCCTAAATTGTATATTTAGTGTATTAGGATAGCTCACATGTTTCTCTTCCGTGGGGATGGAAGCATGGGAAAGGTTGGCTGACTACTCACCAAGCATACCCCCGTTATATTAGATTTAGCAAGAAAAATTCAGGTGACACCAATATAGGTCTTTTGGTCCAGAAATCTAATTTTCATAACTGATGTTCCTGAATTCCAAATGATGCTCTGTTTGGTTTGTAGTGAAGCTGCCATCTTTAATATCAAGTTAACAAAGTTTCAGTCCCAAAGAATAATGATCCTTTAGATATTGAACCCACGATATACTAAAATTATGACAAAGCCTTACATTATTGCCTTTAGCACTCCCACGTTTTCTAATCAAATGGATTCTGATTATCGCCTCCTACACGTATCTAGACCATTAAATTAGAGTATTTGTTAGTAATCAGGATAACTTATAACTTAATTATGTGTTAATTATGTTTGTTAGGTTGAACTCAATGCAAATTGGTGGATTTAGAAGAAAGGAACTCAAATGGATAAAAACAAAAGAAATTCAAATTTTGGGAATCAAAATGTAAACATTCAATAGTTGAATTGAACTAAAAAAACGATGATTGAAGATCATATAAGATCAATTGGATGCAATTGGAGGTCAAAGGAATGAAATATAGTTGAAATATCTTCACAAATCAATTTTCAGTGAAAGAAGTTATATTCCGAATTTTTATCCTCAAGACCCATTTTTCGGATAGTAAACATTTGAATTGGAAAAATTATATTTTTGGAAGAATTGTAACTCTTTGAATTATATTTCCAACATACTTTAAATTAATTCAATTACATATCAGAAGAGAAAATTAAAATCAAAATACCAAATGGTACTCAAGGACAATCACTACTAAATAATAGCTTTTCATCAATGGAAAATTACCAACGGATCAGATCCGTTGGTAATTAGAAACGGATTATCCGTTGGTAAAAATAATCCACTTTTAACTACGATATTTAGCAACGGAATTTCCATTAGTAATGGTGATATTTCTTTACCAACGGATATTCCGTACCACTTGAAGCCGTTTAACATTTGGATGTTTCACCTACAGATATTTCCGTAGGTGACTTACTGATAATCACCAATCCGTTGGTAATTAGAAACGGATTATCCGTTGGTAAAAGTAATCCACTTTTAACTACAATATTTAGCAACGAAAATTCCGTTGGTAAAGGTGATATCTCTTTACCAACGGATATTCCGTACGTTATGTAGTCGACATACCGATAATTACCAACAGACTACATCCATTGGTAATTAGAAAAGGATTATCCGTTGGTAAAAATAATCCACTTTTAAAAAGGAGCTAGTCCCACATTGGAAGATTACTAAAACATTGAAAAAGGAAACTTCTTTAAAAAGGAGCCAAATGAATGTCACATGTATTTAAAAAGTTATTTTGGTCTTTTATTGCAATAGATGGGCCATCAAGATAGTTCAAAAAAAATTATATTAACCGGATTAACTGGAAAAATTGGAAAAAAAAATTATATTTTTTCGTTGGTAATGAAGACTTTTTACCAACGGATATTCCGTTGGCAATTACAAGATTTTTAGCAACGAAAATTCCGTTGGCAATAAAAAACTTTTACTAACGGCATTTCTGTTAGAAATAACAAGGTTTTTACCAACGAAAATTCTGTTGGTAAATGGAAAGATGTTTACCCACGAAAATTCAGTTGGTAAAAGTAATATACTATCGGGTACCCTCAAATTAGCAACGGATTTTCTTTCCGTTGGTGAAGAATATTAGCGACGGATATCGTGGTTTCAGCCACAAAAGTATCCGTGCCTAAAACCATGTTTTTTAGTAGTGAATGAGACGCAAATCGACACCAATTTCTTGTCCCAAGAGCAATTCAACATGCTTGTGCATGCGTGGTAGATATACATGCGCAATGCTTGAACCAAATTCTCTGTTGACGAGCTAATTTCCTTTTCTGATTTAAATTTTTATTGGTAACAACTTTGAAACGATATCTAAACCTAAAATTCAACTTTTATAAATAGAGAACAAATGCTACCAAAAAAAAAAAACCTTTCTTTTGCATCTTTATGTACAATAATATAATCAAATTCATCAAGAATAAGAAATCAATTACTATATTTTGAAAAAGAATATCAAACCCTAGTAAAAAAAAATCGAAGGTCAATTATATCAAGATTTTGAAAAATTCAACATTGGGCTTGAAAATCAACATCTTCTGAATTATTTCATAATCCGGATGATATTTTTCTATTATTCTTCTTATAATTTATATATTAATATGTTAAGCTAGATTTATTTTTGTATTGAATGAAGATGAATCATATTATTTATTTGTTTTAATTCAAAATTAGTAGTTTAATATTTCTTGCGTTTCTTCATTAATTTTGCATACTCATTGCATTATTTAATTGATTGGTCATCATAGATAATTTGTTGGTTATTGTAGTGTTGAAAGACTCACGATAAGTTTAAAAAGCGGGAAAATTAACATATGCGATCATATAGATAATCTAAACTTTAATGCATTTTAATCATTCGAAATCGGGATAGGAATAGATTTAGGTCATGGTTATGATAGATTTAGAGCCTGTTTGGTATGGATTTTTGGGGGAATAATTGATTTTTGAATGGTGATATGATGAGAAATATGTGGTTAAAAAATAAGGAAAAGTTATTGATGTGATGAAAAATATTATTTTATTAAAGAATGTGAATTTTGAAAAAATCTATTTAGAGATAATATATGTCAAACAGGGGTTTGCAACTAATGAGACAACTTGTAGGAACACGAAGGCACGTCGCAGGCACACGAATGCAGTGGGGGCCACTACTAAAAATTAGCTTTTCACCAACGAAAAATTATCAACGGATCAGATCCGTTGGTAATTAGAAATGGATTATCCGTTGGTAAAAATAACCACTTTTAACTACGATATTTAGCAACGAAATTTCCGTTAGTAACGGTGATATTTCTTTACCAACGGATATTCCGTACCACTTGAAGCCGTTTAACATTTGGATGTTTCACCTACGGATATTTCCGTAGGTGACTTACTGATAATCACCAATGGATTAGATCCGTTGGTAATTAGAAACAGATTATCCGTTGGTAAAAGTAATCCACTTTTAGCTACGATATTTAGCAACGAAAATTCCGTTGGTAACGGTGATATCTCTTTACCAACGGATATTCCGTACGTTATGTAGTCGACGTACTGATAATTACCAACGGACTACATCCATTGGTAATTAGAAAATGATTATCCGTTGGTAAAAATAATCCACTTTTAAAAAGGAGCTAGTCCCACATTGGAAGATTACTAAAACATTGAAAAAGGAAACTTCTTTAAAAAGGAGCCAAATGAATGTCACTTGTATTTAAAAAGTTATTTTGGTCTTTTATTGCAATAGATGGGCCATCAAGATAGTTCAAAAAAAATTATATTAACCGGATTAACTGGAAAAATTGGAAAAAAAAAATTATATTTTTTCGTTGGTAATGAAGACTTTTTACCAACGGATATTCCGTTGGCAATTACAAGATTTTTAGCAACGGAAGTTCCGTTGGCAATAAAAAACTTTTACTAATGGCATTTCTGTTGGAAATGACAAGGTTTTTACCAACGAAAATTCTGTTGGTAAATGGAAGGATGTTTACCCACGAAAATTCAGTTGGTAAAAGTACTATACTATCGGGTACCCTCAAATTAGCAACGGATTTTCTTTTCGTTGGTGAAGAATATTAGCGACAGATATCGTGGTTTCAGGCACGAAAGTATCCATGCCTAAAACCATGTTTTTTAGTAGTGAATGAGACGCAAATCGGGGCGTGCGCGAGACACCAATTTCTTGTCCCAAGAGCAATTCAACATGCTTGTGCATGCGTGGTAGATATACATGCGCATTGCTTGAACCAAATTCTCTGTTGACGAGCTAATTTCCTTTTCTGATTTAAACTTTTATTGGTAACAACTTTGAAACGATATCTTAACCTAAAATTCAACTTTTATAAATAGAGAACAAATGCTACCAAAAAAAAACCTTTCTCTTGCATCTTTATGTACAATAATATAATCAAATTCATCAAGAATAAGAGATCAATTACTATATTTTGAAAAAGAATATCAAACCCTAGTAAAAAAAATTGAAGGTCAATTATATCAAGATTTTGAAAAATTCAACATTGGGCTTGAAAATCAACATCTTCTGAATTATTTCATAATTTGGATGATATTTTTCTATTATTCTTCTTGTAATTTATATATTAATATATTAAGTTAGATCTATTTTTGTATTGAATGAAGATGAATCATAAAAATCAAATCTCTTTTGTTTACATAATACGAATTCCATAAAAAATTAGTAAACTTGAATTAAATTTATTTCATGTGGGACGATAACTCTTAACTCATCAATTCTATTACTTGTCAACGATCACGTACGTTTACGGGTTTCGCACGAACACCTCCTCTGGTGAAAAGCTTCCTAAACTCCTTAGACAAGTTCCACGTAACTCGATTTTCCAAAACTCAACTGGTAAGGTCCTCTATACACACGAAATTTTTGTCATTACAACAAACTATTAAACTCATATAAAGTCAGGCTCTTTCCTCGTTCGCATTGTTAGTCATGGATGTTAGCTTCATGCTAAGTTGCATGAATCAATATGCTAGAACTCGAGCACATACCTCCTTTTAGAAACTATTCCTTCTACAAGTTTTTTCTAAAATTGACATGGAAGGTGGCCTAACATAAAATGAAGAACATAGACATCTAGTCTTGGACAACAAAGACTTTAAATGAGACCAAGTTTAACCCAAATAACCGTTTCGAAATGCAAAAAAAAAAAAAAAGATTATTTTTTATAATTTCAACTTTCTACGAGATAACTCCTACTTAACATATTTATAGAAACTTCATATATACTTCGAAATTTTCAACAGAATAAAGCTCAAAATCGTAATTACATAATATAAATAACATTGTTACTTAAATTTTATCTAAATCTTTATTGAATCAAGTCATTTTTTGCACTTAGGCACCTAGGTCCCTATCTCCTTTTTCTTGTTGCTTCAATTCTTAGCGCCTAGGCGTCGCGATCCTAGCACATAGGTGCTAGGTTTCGGGTTAACATTTCAAAACATGTTTTTTGACATCCAAGAGTCTCTTTTCAAGTCAAACTCCTAATTATTATTGAAATTTGATCTCCACAACTTAGTACTCTACAAACCTAAGTACCTTAAACTTTCTCCAATCAACTAAATCTCAAATCACAAGAAATTCAATCAACCAACTACCAAATCAAATGTAATTTGGATCACACAACAACAAAAACCTATCAAGATTCGGACATAAAACTCTTATCATTTACTTTCAAAAGTATCAATCCCTTCTTTTTTTAGGTCAACAAGTCCCACGTCACATCGAGTTTACAAAAATAATATATTTATATGAAAAAATGTATTACAAGACGTTTAGAAATTAAAAAAAAAAAAAATTTTAAAGTGTAGTCAAATATACTATCGTGGGAGATAGACGTTTACTTGCATATATTCCTCGCATTGACTGCTTACCACCAGTTATAAAGCCGTCGAAAGTAGGCAGTGTGGTTGATCAAAATCCCAACAACTATATATTTAGTTCAAGAAATTGTGCTCTCTATTCGATAATGATTCGTTTGGTCCACATGAAAAGAAAATGTTTTATTACAGAGAAATAATCCAAGTCATACGAAAATAGATGAAAAAACACGACATATAAAAACGTTTTTGTTTCAGAAAAATGTGAAACGAAATGTTGTAAAAACTCGCTACAAAGCTAGCCCAAACGAAATATGGTTTCTTCTCTTTGAATCCTTTGTCAAAAGTTTTCTAGAAATTTTTGAATTTTTTAAAAACTCAAAAAATTAAATAATTTTTTTTTTAAGTTGTTAATGTTTTCTTTTAAGGGATAAAATCTCACATAAGGAATAAAAGCTCACATCGAATAAAGATGAAAACAGAGACTAATTTATAAGAGTTTGGAATATTCTTCTTAATAAGGTTGACATTTTAAGATGGAACCTCAATTATTAACATAGTATCAGAGTCCATTAAACTCTAACGAGTAATTCAATCCGATTAAGACTCAAAAAAATTGAGTACACGAATTTCAAGATTGGTCTGTTCAAATGAGTCACCATCTTGTGTGGCATGTTAAGAGATAAAATCTCACATCAAATAAAAATGAAAACAGAGACTAATTTATAAGAGTTTGAGTTACTCCGCTTAATAAAGTTAATATTTTAAGATGGAACCTCAATTTTTAACATTTTCAAGAGTTTCTAAAAATTTCGATTTTTGAAATGTGTCCGAAACAGAAATGTATAAAGTTTTAAGAGTTTCTGTCCAATCTAATTATAGTATAGATGAGGGTGTTAAAGATTAGGTTAATTAGATAAGTAGTAATTGAGGAATTTCACTGTACTCATTAGTCAGCTTCAAACTTATTGGTTAAGTTTGACAAGTAATATGTTAACATGATGTGAAGAGGCCATAAGTTTAAGCAAATTGATTTTATTTTTTTTAAAATGAAAATAAAATTTAAAAGAAAATTTTGAAACCCGCGACATGTAAAGATATATCTTTCACTCCAATAGTTATACGATGGGTAGGTCTTTTTATCTGATAACTACGTCCTCGAGCTCGAGGTAAATAAAAGTGCTTCTGAGTTGATCTCATCTGTGAAGAATTTTCACTTTTCTTTGTTGAAATAACTTCTTCCTTGAATAAAAAAAAGAGTTTTTGGAGGAATATCACATAGCTATTTCAACCTATCATTTTCCATTACGAAAAAGAATTAGACATTGCATTAGTTCCGTGACGACTTAAACAGTTAAACATATATGATTTAGTTTGAGAAAATAGCCACGAGTTCACACAATTTACGATTTTTCTATACTTCAATCAACTTTTTATCTCTAATTAAGAAAATACGAAAAGTTAAGTTACATAAAAATATAAAGGAAGAACACAAAATAGTAGATCCAAGTGGCCAACGGTAACACCTACCCTCTTTTTGCTTGTTTAAAATCCCCCTCACTTGATGTCCCGAGCACTAACACGCCTTTGGCTAAGGGTCGCGTTCATCGAGCATTGATCGATCTATCACTCTATCACGACCCAATTGTTATTTCCTGGTTTTTGATTGTTCGACCGAAGTGCTATCTCGATACAAAGGCACACATTACACATTAACACGCACTTCACACAGTTATGGTGAACCTCGTTGCAGCACAAAAGCCATTGTTGCATGGCCTAATGAAAATGGCTGGTATTCGACCTCACACAGTAGAGATCGAGCCAGGCACGGTTATGAGCATTTGGGTCCCCTCTGAAACAATCCAAAAGCCCAAAACCACCGCAGAGGCGGCTGCCACCATGACTGCCAAACCGACAAAACCGGTGGTCGTACTAGTCCATGGTTTCGCGGCCGAGGGCATTGTCACCTGGCAATTCCAGGTGGGTTCATTGACAAAGAAGTACTCAGTTTACGTGCCGGACCTCCTCTTTTTCGGTGGTTCAATCACCGATAGCCCCGACAGGTCGCCGAGGTTCCAGGCGGAGTGTCTGGCCAAGGGGCTGAGGAAGTTGGGGATTGAGAAGTGCACAGTGGTTGGATTTAGCTACGGCGGTATGGTTGCGTTTAAGATGGCAGAATTGTACCCCGATTTGGTGGAGGCGCTGGTGGTTTCTGGTTCAATTCTGGCCATGACGGACTCCATTAGCCATGCAACACTTAGCAGCCTCGGGTTTTCTTCATCGGCGGAGCTTTTGTTGCCGACCAGCGTCAAGGGCTGCCAGGCACTTCTCAAAGTCGCTGCTCATAAGAAGCTTTGGTTCCCTGATCGGCTTCATAAGGACTTCCTCGAGGTTAGTTACAACTTACAAGCCATAATGTTCTTATCATTTCTAAGTGGTGCTGCAGTCCCGTGTCAATTTTGAACCGGTGCGGTCTAGCCCATCATGCGTCTAGTTCGACCTTTAAGGCGGACCATAGAGATGTGTAACCGGTCGAGCAAACTTAGGCCACCACAAAACTTGATTAGGTTGTCGAGTCTAGATCATCATGATTGAAATTACTAACCATGTGCATGGCAAGCACTTGTGGTATAATTACTTAGTGACGTCACATTTGACACAACGTCTTCTCACTTGTTATCCTGAACTATTGTGTTGTGATATAAAAAACACTTAGTAGATAATAATCAAATAGGGACAACAGATCTCAACTCGTTACTTATTATCATTTATATGCACATTTTTCAATTTAATTGGACATAAATAGGTTTGATCGTGAAAGATATTTACGTAAAGTTGTAAACACGAAACTAAGTCAAATTTAATGTCGTCTCTTCTTTCTATAAAAAATAAAAATAAAAAAGGATTATGCTTCAATACAAGAATCCATTTGTATTGCAAGAATGGAGACGATTGAAAATATAATTATAAGCATATATATACTTTTTTTTCTAGTTTTAGCTTAAACTTCTGCAATAAATGTTCAAAATATCTCTGGTTTAATCTATAAATGAAATGAATCAAGTATTTGTGTAAAGGTAACCATTATAAAATATTTATTGTTAAAGTTGTTGAACCACTTTGTTTAGTGTGGGGTAGGTTGCCCACTTTCAAATACTGACTCGAGTGACACAATAATTTGGACCCGGCTAGGTTGTCATCTCCATTCAATAGCGCAACTTGGCCGAGCCTCGGCTTCAATGAAATTTTACCGGTCCAAGCTTCGCCTAGACCGTGAATCAGCACGGGGCTGTTATGAACTGCCACTGGTCCATGCTGGTTCATCTTGTGGGCTGGCTGGTCCGTATAGGACCACTATTTTGACATGTCTACGTCTAATTTCGGATAAAATTTAAATGAAGTTAATAAAAGGTATAGGAACCAAGTCTCCTTTTATATAATGTCTTAACTTTCGACGATCAAATAAATTGTATGCAAGTGAAGACGTGTCGATAAAATCGGAAGAAAATGAAAATTATATACTCTTTAACATTTAAATTTAAGCTTTTCCGTGGAGCAGTTCAAAACGCGTACAGTGAGGTAAGTAATCTGCCTGACCTAATTTTATTTGATTCTGATGACAGGTGATGTTCAACAACAGAAAAGAAAGGGGAGAATTGCTGGAAGGTCTTGTGGNAACACTCAAGGATCGAGTGACCCAACTTGATGGCAAGGTCGACCATTTGGACGGACAAGTGTAGACTATGGCAGAAAGGCAGGAGAATCAGGAATCGTTGGTCACCAGACGCTCGAAAATGAGTACCGCGTCTTCCCAGTGAAGGAGAGCCGTCTTCATGGGGCCTCATCGATCCCGGTGGCGATGGCCAAAGCGTGACGGACCGGGGCAAATTGAGGAGCTTGCTGTGGAGAGAGGTTTCCGGTTCGTGAACCGAATGTCTCACTGGCGACTCCGAAAAGTGCACCAATCGATTAGAAATCCATTTTTGTAATGAAATCCACCAGCTTATAATAATAATTAAAAAAAAAACTTTGTCAAACATGGGCTAAGTGGTTAAACAGTAGTAGTAGTAGTAATCAATAATTAATTATTTTTCACCAAAATTTTGAGGTCTTTTTTGCAGAGGATACATCTTCTTTGGGGTGAGAATGATCAGATTTTCAAGCTGGAACTTGCACAGAAGATGAAAGAGTAAGTTCTCTGGACTTCATGACTAAACTTACTTTTCAATTTAAATTTCAATTCAAGTTTAACAACTGTCACATAATTTATATTTTTATTTCAATTGAGTCACCACGTAAACTTGCTAAATGGAAAAAACAACGAACGAAACTGCAGTGCCAGGAAAGGTGTCACAGAACACACACATTGGGGGAGCTTTTTTTTCATTTTTTATGTCACACGGGTACCATGTCGGTCCCATACCTATGTGAGAGTAGGTCACCCAAGTGGGCAATTTTCTTCTGACACAATAACTTTATTCAAAAACAACATAAATGTCGACATCGGATGAATAAATCAGACCTTTTTTACTCAAAAAAAAAAAAAGGTCATTTGTGAATATCAATTTCAGATTCCAACTGCTTGAAATTTCATTTAAGCGATGTAAAATTTTACTCGATATTTGTTTTACGCGAGACAGGCAGCTCGGGGACAAGGCTACAGTTGAAGGCATAGAGAAAGCAGGTCATTTGGTTCACCTAGAACGACCGTGCGTCTACAATAGTTGTCTCAACAACTTCCTTTCTTCCTTCCATGCAAATGCAAATGCAAATGCAAATCAATTTTCTTTTTAATTTCCTATTTTAAAATTAATGGAGATTTAACTGTTTACATGTAAAGGAACACTATTGAGTTTGGCCATGTATTAATTCATGCTTGAGGATTTTAATTGATTCATGTTGGAAAAAGCTGTGAATGGGTAGGAGAAAGTGGTTAGAAACGACAATTAATATCAAGACAGAAACTGTACACGAATTCAAGGAAACTGATTATACATATATTTTTTTTTTTCCATAATCGTGAGTGTCCGAGCCAACTTGCGTGCACCTCGACTAATCCAACGAGGCACTGAGGTTTACGACCGGGTACTCACATCAATGACTCTGAGGGGACTCGAACTGGTGACCATTTGGGAGCAAACCCAAGGCCTGATTATACATATATATTCGTAAGCACTTGCAATTCAAGCCATGAGGTTAATATTTAACTTGTTCTCGAAATTTATTTCGAAATAAGCAGGCAAGCGCGAGCTTAAAGAAATCAAAATGCATAAAACGGAATGACATATAACAACTTTTACGATATTTTATATGGGAACTGACATGTTTATTAACATCAAGGTCTTCTGAAATACAGTAAATTAATGCCTGGAACTTGCAAAGCACATGTTTTTATCTGAGCTGCATATGGATAAACTTGCACTTGCATAGGTTCCCAGCTACAATACAGCGTCGAATGTTAACTTCTTGTACAGCGAGGAATAAGATTTAGCCGCTGTGGAAGAGATTAAATGAAAGACGAGCATAATCTATGTGATGCATAAGAAGATCATTCACATGCTGGTTTTGTGTCGAAGCTGCTCAAGCAGATTGAAAAGGCTTGAATGGCAGTGAGAGGGTAACGATAATCCATGGTGAAAATGTCTTTTCCGATCTTTCCAAACTGTAAAATTACCTTTTCTTGTTCGGCAGCTGATATATTTAAAGATGGATCAACAGCAGCAACAAGCTGGAAATTTTTAACAGAAGCTACTGTAACACGGCCCTTAAAATTCAGGCACCAGCACTGCAATTGTTCGTGCCATCTAGGAGCTTTGTTTTTAAGAACTAGTGGCTCTCCAGAAAGTGGTGGTGTAAATGATGAACTTGAGAGTTTTCGGGAGCTGAGATTTAAGACTGAGTCCTTTCCTTCTGAAACCCGTGGGGAAGATGATTTCTCGTCAGAACATTGTGGAAATGATGTTGGTGTCGGGGCAGTGCCTCCCTCCTGAATTGAAGAGACCGGAATTGAATTCATGACACAATTCATTCTCCTAGGACCTCTTGTGCGGAGAACATTGAGTTCGTACGAAATAGTGGCTACACTGTAGTTGTACGCAGGTAATCTGGGAGATACTTGCTTCATGTTGAACCTTCGACTCGATCGACTATTATGTTGCACTGCAGCATCATTCGGAGGTTCACAGTCATATATGGTGAACTTTGTCCCCAGAAAGTTAGACCTGATCGAGACATTTTCAATGTAGTTAGAACAAAATATGCAAAAATAGATCAATCTACAAAAGTATTACACAAGATTTACCTTAGTCTTCCAACATATGTATTGCTGGCTCGAGAAAAATCATCTGCAACTAAAGATACCACAAAGTCCGTGCTTGTTGCCCTTCTAATCTTTTTGGCTGCCAATAATAGTTTATCACTCTCATCCTCAGCTGCGATTTGGAAAGATAATTAGTTACATGCCTTGTAATGGCTAATGAATTCCAATTCTAATTCATGTAATGCATCCAAGTGAGCATCTAAGTGAGTTTTTAAAGATTGAATTTCTGTATTCTTCTTTGGTAAAGCACACATTTCCACACTTACAGCACAAAAAACGCATTTTAGATAAACATGTTTTTCTACACTAACATTGCAAGGGAGCCATCAGTCAAAACGTTAGTTATCTAGAAAAAAAGGAGCCATTTCATAATGCAACAAGAAGTTTTGATTTAAAACTGCAGAAGCTATCATTTGCACAATAATGCACCAGTTTGTAATATGTAAATCCAACCATAGTTTGTACATAGTACCTAATCCATTGGCAAGCACTTACAAAGAAAGGGACCAAAGATCCCTTTTTTTCATATTTCGATATGAAAATATGGAGACTGAGAAGAGGAAGTAAATGGTTAAGTGTATAAAATGCCTTACATGGGGTCAGACCAAAGTACAAGCGGTAAGTGGAAGTTGATCTATCCCGCTTAATAAAGCATTGGATTGGTTCATCTCGGGTAATGCCTTACATGGGGTCAGTCCAAAGTACAAGCGGTAAGTGGAAGTTGATCTATCCTGCTTAATATAGCTTTGGATTGGTTCATCTCGGGGGCCCGGCTAGCCAAGATCACAAATGAAACAAAATATGGTTACAGAAGATATTATTTATCAAAACCTAAGACAAATCAAGTAAAAGCTGAACTCTCATGTACAAAACCTACCTGCTTCAACGATATGGGGAAAGTGAGCCTCCCACATTCCTCTGGAGTCTTGACAATTTCCTTAGTGATATCCCTCCACGACTTACAAACCGATGCACAAAAGACAACTACTGTCCTAGCAGGCCAAGAAGTCTCACTCTCTTCAACCCTCCGGATTATGTCCAAAAGCAATTCTGATGGTAGATTTGCCCAATTCCCTTGCTGAATTGGCTTAGACAGGGCTACATCAGGGGCTATATGAGACCTGTTCCTGTTGAGCCAACGCTTCCCCTCAACCCCTCTTTTTGAGGTACTTCCTATTCCATCTTTTATCTCCTTTAACTCACGGACCATGCCCTTGAACGACATCTCAGTTGATTCCAACCAAGCTTACCCTTTTCTTAAATAGAAGAAACATCAGAGCATAAACAAAACACTCATCAAAAATCTCCATAGAAATATAAAAGTGAAACTATGTCTGAGCAAAATCAGATGCAAATCGAGATCCACAACAAAAAAAAAAAAATTCAATCAAAATAGTATAATCACGCAACTTCCAAATTAACACTGACATTCTTCAACATACACATACTGATAAATAATTACCCAAATTAACGCATAAAGAAATGACTAATTTTGCAATATATCTAATAGCCCAACTAAAATTGATTAACACAGTGTTCTTCTAAGAATCAGATTTCCTCATTTCATAGTTTCATCAATATGAACAACAAATATTGCAAACCCAAAATGTATTTCCAAAATCTATTTAAACGAAAATGAAATGCAATTTCACTAACCTTCAGATACGGATCAACCTTCGAAATGCAGTAATTGAGAAGAGTATTAACAGATCGGAGGCATAAATCTGAAGTCCTACATTCTGATCTCCTTCCAATCTATATAACTCAAAACTACCGCCGCCGCCGGCATCACCACCACCGGTTTGGAAGGGATGGAAAGATAAATGGGTCACAGGGAAAAACGAAATTAACCACTCCTTTTCAACAACTCATAAAGCCCCTATCCTCCAAACAAATTTAAAAAGATTTGCACAGCCATTAAAACTCTAGCTTTCTCTCTGTAATTTTTATTTACCACTTAATTTTTCATTGAATTAAAAAGTTGGGCACTGAGTATGAATATATAATTAGTGGGTCCCGATAAAGCGAGCGTGTCAATTAACTGCTGGAATGTCGAGTAGATAAACATAATTACCGACACAAACCTCATGCATGTTTGTCCAACCTCAAAAAGGTTTACTTATAGTATCATGCTGGGGTTTCACCCTTACTTATAAGTAATAAGTAACTTTTGGATTATTCATAGAAGTTGTATCTCGGCGTGAAAATAAAAATGAGATTCCTATTCCGACTTATGGAGTAATCCGAGTTCAATTGTGAGAGCGATCATACCAAAAACTTGAAACGAGTTTATCCTTCTCCTATAGTGAATCATTTTTACTTGTGGCATGGAGGTCATGGATGTTGAATTTATTGATTCTCACCCTCCTCGTCACTGTGAATTTTGCCGAACCACTTTGAATTATGTTTTTTCCATTTGATGTTCATTTTATTTTTGGTTTTCCATTATGCTCCCAGTGCATGTTAAGTAATTTTATTCCTAACAAGTGGTGTCATATTCAGTCTCTACAAAACGTTAGGCCCGTGATGGCACTAGATCGCTTTCATGGTCTTGCGTAAACAATCTTTGGGACCGCAAGTCGTTCGCAATGAAAACAATGGTGGAAAGCCTTTAGGCTTGGGCAGCTTGGCAAATGCAACCGGCTGGGTGTTGTAGGGAATGAACATAATTGGATGCTTGTTAGTTTGGTCCAATCACACTTAAGTTATTGCCATTAAAACCGCCTTAATAGTCATGTAGGTGTAGGGGTGCTCGTCCAGTCGAGTAACTAATGCAAGTGGATATAGGGTGAAGATTGTAGTCTATTTTAAGGATCTAAAAGTTTATTTTTAGAATAAATAAATAAAAATCCCTCAAAAAGCAGCCATAGATTGAAGTAGCTGAATGCTGAAATCTACGGTTATTATCCAGTCATTATTATGCTTAGTTGTCTGGATTTGGAGCCCTATTTTTGTAAGTTTTCGAAATTAACAATATTAGCTGGACTTTTATTGCCAATGGCCCCTCAATGGCCGTGTGTAAATTTTATTTTTTGTCATTTCGATAGGACATGGTTGGCCTTAGCCATTTCCAATTATTGTTCGGAAACAAACGAATGACCCAAAATAACGAATAGTAACATTGATTATTTGCCTTTTAAGGTTTGTCGCGTTTAAGAATGACTTTTTCAACTGTTTTTTTATCGAATATAACACAAATGCATACTGTTAGAATTAGTTCAAATAAATTGTGATTTTAACGCAAGAAAAGAAGAGTTTTAAAGAGAAATATCATGCTAGTCTCTTCAATTGTCTCCGACGTTTCATAAAAATTGAGGTTTATGAGCATTACTAAAAGCAAAATAGATAAAAACCGTCGGATTATTTATTATTATTGTAATTATTTTGCTATCTAGCTGATATTTGACATGTCCTATGAGCATATGAGATTTGGATTTCTTATCCTTATTGGATAATATAAATATAAATATACATACAATGTTTCATTGTTTAATATATATATACTCTATTTGATAAGGATTAAATTCAGATTTTAATCTTAATTAAAGTCAATAATTAATTTTAATTACATATTACATGAGACCCACAGCTGTTCAATCATATATTTCATCAACTTTTTTCAAAATATAGTAAAATTTAATTTTAATCCCCACCAAACAAGTGACTATAATATTGTAGGTAAGACAAAAAAATTGTTTTACGTCCAAAATTCCATCAAAACCAATACAATATTCCATGTATATATATGTATGTATATAAACAATGTGCAAGGATGAATTGTCATTTTCAAATATACTTTTGAAAATCGATCACTTTACATTGGCATATTCTGTATGTTTGATTCGGCTGCAACCTTCCTATGTTATACATAGTGGCACCTTTAGAATTTTTAATATGGACAAAACAATGGATATATATTTTACGCGTCTTTCTTGCTCAATAACATTGTATTCCGATATACCAAATTTCAAACTTTTACACATTATTTTCTATATGTTTATAGATTGTAGATTTTGGATGTACATATATTTCTATTGTAAGGGGAAACAATATGTACCACAAGTTTATGAGTTCCCTTTTGTATCAAAAAAATGGGTTTTTTTTTCTTTTTTCTGATTAAATAGGTTACTTAGAACTTAATTTTTGGTTCATTAATGAGTTGTGAATTCAACTAAAATATTAAGTCAAATGAACTAGACAAGTTTACATATTGTACTAAACAAGTCGTTCTTTAAAAGTAGGAAAGATTGAGAAGTATACATAAAACGAAATTTATTAGTTGCTGTTTCTATTCACTATACTCCATTGCACTACGTGGGGTTAAATGCTCTAGAGGTCTCCCAGTTTTGAGTGGAGGTGCATCCAAATAACTCATCTTCAATTTGGTGAATCGGATCACCCCAACTTACTTGTAAATTTGATCGCTCGTCTTCAATTTGGTGCAATCAAGTCACTCAACTTTTACTTGCTTACATATCTGGTCACTTTTTCCGCTATTATCGACTTAACTAACGTAATATGTTGACATCGATGTTAAAAATAATGAACAATTGAAATGTAAGATGTTCTTTTACTTTTCAAGGTTTTTTTCTTTTAATATTTTAAGATGACATGCATTGTTGTGTAACAAGAATATATACGGTAATGATACAATAGTTCTAATGTCTAGATCAATATATTACATTAATTAAATTGACGAGACAATTCATAGAATGATGAGATTTTGCAAGTACGTCAGTGTTGTCCAAATTGAAGATTGAGTGACGAAATTTGTAAGCAAATAGAAGTTGAATGATCTAATTGCACCAAATTGAAGATGCGTGTGCCTGATGCACCTCAACTCAAAGTTGGATGACCCACAGTACATTTAACCCTCACTACATCATTTGTCATCACAATGCAATTTATCAAATACAATTTTACTTTTTCTAGTTCTTTTATGCATAGATTAAGAGGAACAATTACCTATGTGACAATATATTCACATTAGGTTGCCAGTAAAACTTGTTTATTGAAATTTTATTTCAACACATCTCTTCACATGCTGACTAAATTTATATTCCATAAAAAAACTTAATACACAACTTTCATAATCAGGTAGCAAGCAAACTTAAACCTATTTGTCACTTAGATACCGAGTTGAACCAACTCTAAAAGCCTTTGATATATTAGTAAGATTATCTATATTTCGCCGATGTACAAAATATAGGATACAACAAGTTTTACACAAACAGGGGGCCTAAGATGTTCTTGCACTCCTACCACCAACCTTTGTTGAAATCTACAATTCACTCAATTGGATATATACCAAGATTAACAGCCAAAAATACTCGACTTGAGATCATTTTCTCAAGAAATTGCTTAAATCAGAAGGCTAACAATGTGGGTGGAAAACTGAGGCATTGACCACAATTCCTTTAAGGACGTCGTGGGATCTTATCATTCAAGAATCCAGTGTCTAAACTAGATCAACCACTTACAGAAATGTCGTCATGTAATTACTCGAGGCTATTGCCCTCATAGTGATTGGTCAATCATATTTCTTCGCTGCATTGCATTCTGCATCATAAAGCTTGAATTTGGCCCCCATAGCCATAGTGCTTCAGAAGCCCTTCATTTTGCCTCCAGTTTTCTTTTACCTTCACTTCAACCTGTTCAATGAGCAAGTTTATTGAAAACAATATTTTAAACTAAAACCAGATTAGAGAATTTAGTATCCATTAGTCAATAACTCAACCAAAAATTCAAGGGTAAATAGATCTGTCTGTACAAGTGTACTGTTTCATACTAGCATGTTTTGACTAATCATGAAAGTAAGCAAATGTACTTTTGTATCCAAACATATTTAAATATGTTACTTTTTTCTTACTTTTAAGTCAAAAAAATCAAAGAAAAGAAAAGAAAAGAAAAGAAACTACTTATTTTGAAAGTAACTCTTAGCTTATTGTCAAAATCACTTTAGCCCAAAAAAGAAATAGTTATTTTAAAACCAAACTATTTACTTATAACTAAACTTCCTAAGCTTACCTAACATGCTAAGATCAATCAACTTTATTACCTCGAGAAAAACTTTCTTTTGCAAGAAATCTTCTATGTCAAGCCGTGCAGCTGTTGCAAGTAGCTTCAAAGCTTTTCCTTCCTGACAGTAATCCAGAAATATGAAATTGAACTTGTATAATCTGTAATATCTCTCTGTATCATTGCTCAACAGAATTTAATTCTTTACTAACGAAAAGCTCAGCTACAAGCAATGTTTTGCCAAAGATCGTGGTAGCATTAATTGAAAAGGAGAAGTATTGAAACTAACAAAAAAAATGCTGGCAAATGACGCGAACAATAAAACAGTAACTAGAGCAATATCTCTGGTACAAAATAGGAACTTTAACTTCAAACTATAGTATAGAGATCTCTAACTTGCTGCAGCCCCTAAATAACAATACCAGGTGTTTTTATCAATCCATTTACTTATATATTGTACTTTTAAGTTTGTAACATTTTTGAGGTGGCGAATTACAAGGCCTATGCACTTCCATATGCATACCAATACCTCATATAAGCCATAGTCTATCCTGATATTCCTTATTTTCATAGCGAGACCTTCCTTTTCTTGTAATATATAGTTCTAAATTATAAAATTGGTAGGTGTCATGCCGAAATCCCAACCATTTCACTATAAAGCTTAGAAGAAAAATATCATCTATGGTTGCAGCCAGCGAATGAGCCTTCAATGACCTGCCATCTGCCATGATCTAAAGCATCCTGCAGCCATGTTGTTGATGGTTATTAAGTTGACCAGAGTATATACATAATCTAAACTTGTCGGCTGGAGTGGGTTCGGCACAAGTCATCCAATTATTGTATTGGTGAAAATTATGTTTACATAGGCATTAACAAATATTAAAATTGTATTGGAAAGTGTAAGATTATGGACTATGGGCTATGGTATCTATATTCACTTAGGTCAACCATCAAATAAACTTGGTAAATGAATCCCAAACTTCAATTTTTCAGCAAGTAAATCTCCCTGGCAACAGTTTCGTCCAAAATGCTGTTAAAGCTTACATGGCTTGCATATGATAAGGGATATTCAGTGATAAGAGTTTTAATTAAACAATTTTTTTTTTTTAAAGTGAGAGAGAGAGGGAACTAATCTTCTCCTAACCCTACCCCCATGTCCAGTCCCCACAGCCCTTGCCCCTCCCCTACCCTCCAGATTGGTGACTGGTCAATTCATAACCCTCGTAAGCTAATCATGTAATATTCTTTTGTTCAGGGAAATGCTGTAAATAATTTCCGAAAGCAGAAAACTGCCACCCAGATGATAGCTTTCGTTAGCTAATACAATAATATCAAAAATCCAATTGGCTGGAGATTCTCTTCATTTTCTTGAGATTTCATGGCGGATAAGTTTGAGGGAATGTAAAGTGAATTTAGAGTGCTGTCAGATTCACCCTCAGATGCGACTGTCCTCAGTCCAGGTTGGGGGAGGGGAGGAATCGAAGATCAATTCATAGAAAATATTATGTAAGAGAGAAAAGCCAGCAATTAGAGCATAAAAATAATGATTGAGCATCAACTAAGCACTAAGAACGATTGCTTGCCATTAACTTTCCTTCATACATAACAATTAGACTGAGTTGAACAAAGTGGACTGCAAGAGAGGGAGAGGCTGTGGAGAGGAAGAGGAAATTTGAAGGGGTTTACTAGAATTTAAGCAATAAAATATTTTATGGTTTTATCATCTATCTCCTGGGACAACTCCTCTTTCCCCGTGAATACTGCTTAACCTATTGGACGCCCAACTTATAGAGGACAAAAACCTGGCCAGCCATTTATTATACTTCCATCTTAAGGTAATTTATGGAATAAGATACAAAAAGAGTAGACTGCAACGAGAGAAAAAAAATAGCAGTAGAATGCACTGATAAAAGAAGCGTAAATGTCAATACCTTTCCGATGAGTATGATCTTCTGTGAATTCTTCTCTACAACAATCTCAACTTGAATGAAATCTTTTGCATTTGGTCTAGTTTTATAGCTAACTACATTAACCTGTAGGAGCGAAAGACCATCATCTTTCAATTGATAGAGCTTCCAAAAAAATTTACCAGATACTAAAGAAGAGAACTAAGAAAAGGACCAGTAAAAAGTTAAGTACGACTTGTGACTCACAAGAATCTTGAGAATTTTAAATTCAAAAGATATGTTTACCTGACAAGCATAGGGGACTTCATCACGGTACTGCATAAAGATCTTCTCTCTAACAATCTCAGCCACAAAAAATCTTTCAGGGTGCTCACTAGCAATATCCTGATAACACATTGTACAATAGATTTTAGATTTAGTAAGTCAGACATTACCTTCCCAATAAGTATGTACAAATATATGGAAGAACAAATATGAGAGGAAAAAGAAATAAGAAATGAGGATACAGCAAATAATATTTTTAAGGGAATGAGAAATGAGTAAAATGAAAGACCCTACAGACACATCCACATTCAGATAGAGTTATATACTCATAACCAAAAATATATAATTGACCTAGCAGTTAATTTACAAAGTTTAAAGAAGTTTCTGTGTTCTTCAACATATAATGCAGTTTCAATTGATATTTATGGATCTCAATCATTCCCAACCATGTAATAGCTGACTTCAACTAGTACAAAAAGATACAAAAAGAACAAATAACAAAAGTACCAGACTTCACCATGTTTTACAATATCAGATGATTTAAATATGATGATTATGATGTCAACGGAATATAAAAAAAGCTCAAATATAAGGAAGGTTACCATATTTAATAGGTTACAATCAATAAATATTGTAAATGATAACTACCATATTTAGTTGTGATTTTGGTTCTATATAATGAGAGAGCCTCTCACAATCTTATTGAGTATCATTGAGTATATCTGACATATGAAGCAACGGAAATATATTGTTAATAATGTTCTATTTCCAGTGGAAAAGAATATGAGAACACCATAGAAAGGAGGGATAATAACAATACCTTAGAATAATAAGCTGGTCCACAAGGAAGTTTTGATAGAATCCACTCCTTGACATCATCTACGCCATGACCATACTTGGCACTCACAGGTATGACCTCATCAACATTCGTAAATTTCTCATACCACTGCAACAAACATGTGTATATAAATAAATTTGAGAAGTTATACTGACACCCTTCAAATTTTAGCACCCTTCCAGTACAGAGATCAGAGGCATAAAAATAGTGCAATCAGAAAACTTACAAAAGAGCAAGAAGCTAACCACACAAAATGCATATAATTGCGACATGAGGTCGTGTACCCTTAGGTTCAATATACTACATTTTCTCTGCAGAAATTGCATTGTCTTTTCAAACAAAAAAATCATATAATGGCTTCAGGTCTACTAATTTAGTGGACGAGTTGAGTTACCTTTAATTAGCAGAATAGCAAAAGAGTGAGTCAGAAAATGTCTATTCAGAAGTCAAGTGCGATTTTGGCAGAATGAAAAGGGAAGAGAATACTTGCTAGAATCATTTGAGCATAGTAGCATCATTATGTAACTAAGAATACAAATTTGTTTATGCCACTAAATAGTAGATGATATTGCTTAGTACCTCAAGTTTCTTTGCAATTTCACCGGGTTTGATCAGGTCCTTCTTGTTTAAAACCAGCAAGGTAGGTAACTTATCTCTGAGGTCTCCAACACCTTCTTCCAGCACTTCATCAATCTGATAGCAGATGAGAGATATTAGTTAAAGGAGACGGTTCCGTAAATAATTATTTTTAGTGGAGCATACCTTTTGAGGTGGCTTACATGCATCGACAACAATGAGTACACAATCTGCATTAATGGAAGCACTGCGGACATTCTTCATCATCATGGTGTCCAATTTGTGCATTTTCTTCTCAATAACACCAGGTGTATCATATAGTATCATCTATAAAGGAAACCAATAATATGACTTGAACAGAACCTTGATATTTCTCACAGGAAGTAATTGAGACCAAAAATATGTAGAGGAATAGGATATTTGAGTAACTATTCCATCCTCATATATTACAAAGTGGCTGTAACAAGCCTGGCCGGTGCGCCTTCAGTTAAGATGTGGAAATAGCATTGTTTTCTGAGATCATTATTTCTTTTCATGTCTAGTGAACTCGTTCATTTGGTTATTACGTAGATCATGACAATGTGAATGTAGTAGTGCAGCAAGGATCGTTCGAGTTTTGAGTTGAAATTTGGAGTTTATCACAATGTTGCAGATTCATGTCATCCATATTATTGAAGATTTGGATAGAAGAAAACAACTTAATCTTTCATATATTAAGCCCTTAGGATCTCTTGATGAAATAAAGATTAGCAATTCGTAAGTTATTTTTTGATAACACTGTGTAGTTATAGAATGCGTTAAATAAAGTATCAGATTTACTTTATAATTTCTTATTTTATTTATTTATGTTTATAAGTTTAACTGTATGTAGTATGTATGCCTTAGTTTGGGGCACAAATAAAATGGAATATCCCTTTATTCTCAGAACAGCCATATTGCAAAACCCAATGAGGCATATTACAGTAAATATAACACACCTTCAAAACAATAAAAAAAGAAATTCAAATATTGTTATTAGATATTATAAAGCAATTGTGCTTCCATTGTCTCTGTTACAAAGTTTCTATAAAAATGAGAATTGCCATATCTTATACTATGGTTTGAACTATTAATTTAGGTAATTGGAAGCAATTGTACAAGCAACAAAAACTACTAGAAATTGAACGCTAACCCAATATAAGAGCCTTATTAAGATATAACTCTATAAAATATTAAAGAATAATGGCAAGAAGAGATTCTGTAGTTCCTCAATAGCATATACCTGTACAAGTGTACTGTTTATTCATCCACCATAGTAATAAGAGATGAAGTTAGTCTCAATTAAATGAACAAAGATACCTTATGCGTCATCGATAGGTTATAGCATGTTTGCCTAATGTATGCACTAATGGAGATAAGAGAAAATTGCCGTCTATTTAGTACTATCATTGAATAACCAAATATAAATGCAGGTGTTCAAAATACCATCACACGGCCAACTTCAGTTGCCATCTCACAACAGAAGCATCATCAAGCAACAATAATATTACCCAAGATTGTGATTGGATGTCATAAAAATTTTGTTCCCAGTCATTCAAACATATTCTCAAACAGCAAGTGGCTGGTATTAAGATACGGTATAAAACGAACCCTAAATAAAAGTGGGTACGGGCCAAGCCTCTCTAGTCGGCAAACTAATCGTCATTTCTTCTCTATTAGAAACACACAATGAACTGCATAAACATATAAGCAAATTGAGCCTGAAAAATAAAAAAGAATTGAAATGTCAAACCTGATAGTCTGCGTCAGAGCATATACCAAGAATACGATGCCTAGTAGTCTGAGGTTTATCCGTAACAATAGAAAGCTTCTGTCCAATCATTTGGTTCGAAAGCGTACTTTTTCCAACATTTGGCTTGCCCAGCACTGCCACATATCCACTGCGGTGATTCGGGTCAATTGGCACGAAATCAAGCTCCTCCATTTCATAATCGTCGAGCAATGACATGTTCCTCTCCGGTTTATCGCTCAGAGACAGCAATGACGATGATGACGTATCCTCCTCCTCCTCAAAATCCTCATCCAAGCCCATGTAAAATCTAGTTCCTTCTTCTTCTTCTTCTTCTTCTTCTTGCATTTTTTGAACTTCACTTTGAATTTTTACTCGTTTACTATTATAGTCAGATGGATTCTTGTTTCTCCTAGTTCTTGAGGAAACTGCACTAGTTCTATTCAAAGTGGCTCGAAGCTGGAGGTGGGATGTTCTTGGTGGTCTGAAAAGAGTGTGGCAATGGCAATAAGAGTTGAATATAAGAGGATTCTGAGAGTGATATTTCGTGGGTTCCCTTGTTGGAGGGACGAGAAATTGTTGTAGAGCGAGCTCCTTCATCATGCTTCGAATTCTTGGATTAGGGCGCTGCCTCGCTCTCTTGTCTACTCTTATCTACTTCGAGTCCAGTGATTTCATGTCAAGAATCTGACGAAATCATCCCCTTTTTGCCATGGTTGATTTACTACTTGCATAAAACGGGTGTATATTTGTCACGGTCACTAAAGTTCATTAAAAAATTTAAAATGATCATCCAAGTAATTTTATTACAGTAATATTCACTTAAATTTCTAAATTGTTAGAGTAATAATCACTCGACTAAAAATATTAGAATAAAACTCTATGTGTCATTGTTAAATTTCAACGTGAATACAAATGAAATTAACTAGTACATCATGTTTAACAGAGTGATGTTGACTGTAACTAAAACGATTTGTCGATCACGTTTTTCCTATATTTGTTCGATATTAACAAGCAGTAGGTTAGTGAAACTTCATATTTTTGTTGTTTGATTTTGCAAGGTGAGGCAATTTTGCATCACATGGCGTACTAATTATCACAATTTTTGTGCTAGTTGAAATTAAAAGTGATAGTAAGATTGTTAAGTTAACGTTTTCTACTAAATGATTATTAATAGAATGTAGGGATGACGGGTCAACGTGCCCTGAAATCCCTCCCGTAGGGAAATTTATTGCCTAACTGCGCCGCATCTATATTATTTTTATTATAAATTTTATGCCGTACTTGAATATTGAGTAAATTGTTTTAATAATCACTCCAACTTTATCGTGGTCACGATTTACTCACTGAATTTTAAAGTGATTCACAGTGCTTACTAAACTTTGTCCGTTTGCATTCTGTTCATCACCCTCAAAAATCATTTACCTTATTCGCTGACGTGGCTAACGAAAATCTAACGTGGCAAGTTACAATCATTAAAAAATGACAACTCAACCAAATCATTGTTTTATTACTTATCCAACTTATATTTGGTCACAGTTTACTCATTGAACTTCAAAATATTTCACAATGGTCACTTATCTTTGAGATGTTACACTCCATTCATCATCCGTCATATTTCGTTCCCTTCATTTTTAATGTTCGCACAAAAATTTCACGTTGTACGTTATACTTGTTTAAAAAATTGCAACTTAACTCACCCACATCACCATATGTGAAACGTGACTTCCAAGGCCCCCATCTAAATTTCACGTTGTACGTTATACTTGTTTAAAAAATTGCAACATAACTCACCAAAATCACCATATGTGAAACGTGACTTCCAAGGCCCCCATCAACATCTTTAACATCCAATAAAGCGTCCCTAATAATTTTTTTAGAAATATCATTTTTCTAATTCAAACAGTTACTGTGCAAAAAATAGGTTTTTATTTGAAGGTGAAACTTTGAAGCATAACTTGTTTGGTTGGAAAGTTTACCATATGTGAAACGCGACTTCCATACCTCATAAACTTTTTTAAAATCCAATAAAGCGTATCCAAACAAGTTATGCTTCAGAATTTCAATTTCAAATTTAAAACTATTTTTTGCATAGTAAATGTTTGAATTGAAAAAATGATATTTGCAAAAGAATAAATGAGGACACTTTATTGAGTTTTAAAGAAGTTGCTGAGGCCGTGGAAGTCACATTTCACATATGATGATTTTTGTGAGTTAAATTTTGTTGAGTTACAATTTTTTTAACATCTGTAACTTACCACGTGGAATTTTTGTCGAAACATTAAGAATGAAGGGAACAAAATATAGCGGATGATGAATGGAGTGCAACAACTCAAAGATGAGTGACCACTGAGAAGTATTTTAAAATTCGATGAGTAAATTATGACCAAATATAAGTTGGATGAGTAATGAAATAATGATTTGGCTGAGTTGTCATTTTTTAACGATCGTAACTTGTCATGTTAGATTTTCGTTAGCCACGTCGACGAATAAAGTAACGAATTTTTTAGGGTGATGAACGGAGTGTAAACGGACAAGTTCAGTGAGTATTGTGAAACACCTTAAAATTTAGTGAGTAAACCGTGACCATGATTAAGTTGAGTGATTATTGAAACAATTTACTTCTTTAATATTTAATACAAAAATTTTACTAATGGACTAAAATTGAAAAGATCACAAATCCACTTAATGACACATCCAAATATATCAAGCACGTTATTTAATTAATGATGAGTCATTTTTTTTTACGTATCTTTTGAAATGGGAGAATTTACAAAAATGTCTAATTTCATGCTTATTAATAAGGGCGGACCCAGCACTCGACGAAGGAGGGCGACCGCCCATGCTGGATCCGCAGGAGCCGCCAGGTAGTTGGCTCGTTGCTAGTTGCAACAAACACAGAGAAGACGGGAAGAAGACGAAAGGTGGGCCTTTTTTTCTTTTTCATTTTTTTAAGTTTTGGCCCATTTTTTGAGCTGAGAGAGTTAGGCCTTTTTTTTTTGTGAAAATTACATGGAGGCCTACTTTTCAAAATTCAAGTTCAAAAATAACATTTTAAATTTTAATGTTCAAAAATCAGATTTTTGTATTAAGATACGGTATAAAACGAATCCTAAATAAAAGTGGGTACGGGCCAAGCCTCTCTAGTCGGCAAACTAATCGTCATTACTTCTCTATTAGAAACACGCAATGAATTGCATAAACATATAAGCAAATTGAGCCTGAAAAATAAAAAAGAATTGAAATGTCAAACCTGATAGTCTGCGCCAGAGCATATACCAAGAATACGATGCCTAGTAGTCTGAGGTTTATCCGTAACAATAGAAAGCTTCTGTCCAATCATTTGGTTCGAAAGCGTACTTTTTCCGACATTTGGCTTGCCCAGCACTGCCACATATCCACTGCGGTGATTCGGGTCAATTGGCACGAAATCAAGCTCCTCCATCTCATAATCGTCCAGTAATGACATGTTCCTCTCCGGTTTATCGCTCAGAGACAACAATGACGATGATGACGTATCCTCCTCCTCCTCAAAATCCTCATCCAAACCCATGTAAAATCTAGTTCCTTCTTCTTCTTCTTCTTGCATTTTTTGAACTTCACTTTGAATTTTTACTCGTTTACTATTATAGTCAGATGGATTCTTGTTTCTCCTAGTTCTTGAGGAAACTGAACTAGTTCTATTCAAAGTGGCTCGAAGCTGGAGGTGGGATGTTCTTGGTGGTCTGAAAAGAGTGTGGCAATGGCAATAAGAGTTGAATATAAGAGGATTTGGAGTGTGATATTTTGTGGGTTCCCTTGTTGGAGAGACGATAATTTGTTGTAGAGCGAGCTCCTTCATCATGTTTCGAATTCTTGGATTAGGGCGCTGCTTCACTCTCTTGTCTACTCTTATCTACTTCGAGTCCAGTGATTTCATGTCAAGAATCTGACGACATCATGCCCTTTTTGCCATGGTTGATTGACTACTTGCAAAAAACGGGTGTATATTGTCACGGTCACTAAAGTTCATTAAAAAATTTAGGGAAAATTGCAGCGTAGGTCCCAAACCTTTCATTTTGCTGCAAAATACACCCTAACCTTTCATTTTTACGGCCGTAGTCCCAAACCTTTATACTTAGTTGCAGCGGAGGTCCAAAACACATACTCCGTCCAAATTTCTGTTAGCCAACTAAGATATTTTAATTTTGACTCTAAATAAAGGGTAAAATAGTTAATTTATATTTTTAATAAAATAATTAAAAATACTTCACCTTCTCCACTCCAACCCAACCCAACCCAACCCAACCCAAAATAAAAAGGGGAAATTGCAGCCGACGGCCAGATTTCACCACAGCTACATCACCCGTCCCTCCTTGTGTTTTTCTTCAATAAAGAATTTGTATGAAAACAATTAAAATTACTAGGCATAAGGCACAAAACAATATTCAAGGAACAATCTTGTGTGATTTCGTCTTATCAATGACAGAAATGAGTTAATATTTGGTGTTTCTGAATCCCAGAAAATGGTGTTCTTTGCTCTTATTCATACTATCCAACATACACTCAAAATCGAAAATCACACCAGCAAACCAGAATGTTGCAACCTCCTCCAATTTAGTTGTCTCAAAATTGTTTTTCTTCACAATTTCATCCCAAATAGGCCCTTTATATTTCATCATTTCTGTTAAGCTCACATACGGCTCATTTTCGTCGAATTCTACATATTCAAGTTCAAATTGTCCAGCCAATATCTTCCACATACGCTTCCACTTGAAAAGGTCCCCATTGCTACAGTTAAAACCTTTGTTTTTTCCATTGGGGTCAACCGAGCTCCAAATTTATTGCCGGCTATTAAGTCTGCATTTGATGCCACTGAATTTGTTGATTGAAGCCCATGCCTGCTAATTACTTCGGCACGTATGAAAATCAGGTTCGAGCCACGTATATTCTCCATGAAGCTGACATCAAGAAACTCCAAGATGCAGTTTTGGTTCGAAAGCCTAGTTCCTGCTAATCGAGAGTAAATCGATACATATGAGCCTGAAGTGCCTGCTAATTACATCAGCAACTGCCTTGGAGGTGGAATGGTGCGAATAATGCACCAAGACCCAACTGCCGCCTGCGATTTGCCCTTTTTATTTTGTGTTGGGTCGGAGATGGTGAAGTTTTTTTTAGCCCCGGTTTGGCCCCCATTATTGTTGATTTTTGAGGGGTTGAAAATTTTTAGAATAGTGATTGATGGGAGATGTGTGGTTGAAAAGTTTTAGATTTGTGTGTATTATTATTTTATTTGATGAATGAATGTGAAAAATTTTAAAATAGTGATTGATGGGAGATGTGTGGTTGAAAAGTTTTAGATTTGTGTGTATTATTATTTTATTTGATGAATGTATGGTTGAGATGAAGAGAGAGAAAAAATTAATGTAATGTAATGGAAAATAATGGGGGCCAAACAGGGGCTTAATTATTTTATTAAAAATGTAAATGGACCATTTTACCCCTTATTTAGAGTCAAAATTGAAATATCCCAGTTGACTAACAGAAATTTGGACGGAATATGTGTTTTGGACCTCCGCTGCAACTAAGTATAAAGGTTTGGGACTACGGCCGTAAAAATGAAAGGTTATGGTGTATTTTGCAGCAAAATGAAAGGTTTGGAACTGGCGCTGCAATTTTCCCAAAAATTTAAAATGATCATCCAAGTAATTTCATTGCAGCAATATTCACTTAAATTTCTAATTGTTACAGTAATAATCACTCAACTAAAAACATTAGTATAAAACTCTACGTGTCATTGTTAAATTTCAACGCGAATACAACCTCTGTTTGGTATCCCTTCTTTTTTTCATTCTCATTCCTCTACTAATTTTCAACCACACATTCATCAATAAAATAATATTTTCCATCACATCAATAACTTTTCCTTCATTTTCAACCACAAAAAAGGTGTGATTTGACACAAAGAATGCATTTTTTTCTAGAATAATGGTTACCAAACGGTGCCTAACTAGTACACCATGTTTAATAGAGTGATGTTGATTGTAATTAAAACGATTTGTCGATCACGTTTTTCCTATATTTGTTCGATGTTAACAAGCTTCATATTTTTGTTGTTTGATTTTGTAAGGTGAGGCAATTTTGCATCACATGGCATACTAATTATCACAATTTATGTGCTAGTTGAAATTAAAAATGACAGTAAGATTGTTAACATTTTCAGCTAAATGACGTTTAATAGAATGTAGGGGTGGCAATGAGATGGGTCAACGTGCCCTGAAATCCCTCCCGTAGGGAAATTTATTGCATTGGTCCTTGCCTAATTGCGCGGCATCTATATTATTTTTATTATAAATTTTTTGTCGTACTTGAATATTGAGTAAATTGTTTCAATAATCACCCGAACTTCATCATAGTCACGATTTACTCACTGAATTTTAAAGTGATTCACAGTGCTCACTAAACTTTGTCCGTTTGCACTGCGTCCATCACCCTCAAAAATTATTTATCTTATTCGTTGACGTGGCTAGCGAAAATCTAACGTGGCAAGTTACAGTCATTAAAAAATGACAACTCAGTCAAATCATTGTTTCATTACTTATCCAACTTATATTTGGTCACAGATTACTCATCGAACTTCAAAATGCTTCACAATGGTCACTTATCTTTGAAATGTTGCACTTCATTCATCATCCGTACTTAACTCACCAAAATCACCATATATGAAACGTAACTTCCAAGGCCCCCATCAACATCTTTAACATCCAATAAAGCGTCCCTAATAATTTTTTTAGAAATATCATTTTTCTAATTCAAACATTTACTGTGCAAAAAATAGGTTTTAATTTGAAGGTGAAACTCTGAAGCATAACTTGTTTGGTTGGAACGTTTACCATATGTGAAACGCGACTTCCACACCTCATAAACTTGTTTAAAATCCAATAAAGCGTACCCAAACAAGTTATGCTTCAGAATTTCAATTTCAGATTAAAAACTATTTTTTGCACAGTAAACGTTTGAATTGAAAAAATGATATTTCCAAAAGAATAAATGAGGACGCTTTATTGAGTTTTAAAGAAGTTGCTGGGGCCGTGGAAGTCACATTTCATATATGGTGATTTTTGTGAGTTAAATTTTGTTGAGTTACAATTTTTTTAACATCTATAACTTATCACGTGGAATTTTTGTCGGAACATTAAGAATGAAGGGAACAAAATATAGCGGATGATGAATGAAGTGCAACAACTCAAAAATGAGTGACCATTGGGAAGTATTTTGAAGTTCGATGAGTAAACTATGACCAAATATAAGTTGGATGAGTAATGAAATAATGATTTGGTTGAGTTGTCATTTTTTAACGACCGTAACTTGTCGCGTTAGATTTTCATTAGCAACGTCGGAAAATAAAGTAACGAATTTTTGAGGGTGATGAACGGAGTGTAAACGGACAAGTTCAGTGAGTATTGTGAAACACTTTAAAACTTAGTGAGTAAACCGTGACTATGATTAAGTTGAGTGATTATTGAAACAACTTACTTCTTTAATATTTAATACAAAAATTTTACTAATGGACTAAAATTGAAAAGATCGCAAATCCACTTAATGACACATCCAAATATATAAAGCACGTTATTTAATTAATGATGAGTCATTTTTTTTACATATCTTTCGAAATGGGAGAATTTACAAAAATGTCTAATTTCATGCTTATCAACAAGGGCTGACCCAACACCTGACGAAGGAGGGCGGCCACCCATGCTGGATCCACAGGAGCCGCCAGGTTGTTGGCTCGTTGCTAGTTGCAACAAACACAGAGAAGACGGGAAGAAGACGAAAGGTGGGCCTTTTTTTCTTTTTTCATTTTTTTTATGTTTTGACCCATTTTTTGAGCCGAGAGAGTTGGGCCTTTTTTTTTTAAATGAAGCCCAATTAAATGAAATAATTTCCATCTAATTGGGCTGAGGCAGTGAGGCTCCATTCTCTCTAAAGTCCAAACCCACTGGCTGCCTTCACTCCTTCACCGAGTGGATCTTCACTTCTCCTCTCCTTCTCCTTCTCCTTCTCCTTCTCCCTGCTCTGCTTCTCATGTCGGTTGCTGCCGCTACTGCTTGGTAAGCGGCTTCTTCTCGATAGTCGGGCAATTATGTTTATTTTGTCCTTCTTGATATGATCGGGATATTATATGTTTTTTTATTTTTGATGATTATGGTGTAACTGGATATTATCTATTTGTATGCATTTTCTTAATTGGAGATTGAGAGTGTTTTTGGATGCTGAAAATAATGGGGAGTCATGGATGATGGATCTTGATCTTAATTTTGAAATTAGGAAAGTATTGGTGGGTAATAATTTTTATGCTTTTCTCATTTGTAGTTATGAGAAAAGAACCAATTTTTGGCATGCCTTTTTCGTTTAATGACTAATTCTTAGGGAAATTCAAGTTCAAAATTGGCCAACGTCTTGATTGATAAGTGTTTTATCTTGTTTAACTCTTTTCCAGCATTTGTCTCGGGCTTCGCTTTTTTTTTTTTTCTTGTCAAAACATTTATGAATTTGAAGAGATTGGCATTTACATGTAAATTGAATAATTTTTAATATTATTTAATTAAATATTAATAAAGAACCTCGTTCTTACGATCGTTGCCGATGGTCAATGGTCAACGTCCGCCCAGACTGAACTTCAATTCTGGGTCCGCCACTGCTTATCAATTAAAAAATGTCTAATTTTGATAACTCCTACAAAAATGGTCTAATTTAGTACTAAATTGTCTATCGCACTCTTAATGAAAAACGAAACTTTTTTTCTCATTTGTCGAATTTCAAATAGAAGAAATAGCTTCCAAGAGAAGCTACATTAAAATAACATTCTCAATATTTTAACAATTGCTATCGATATTTGAATCATATTTATCTTGACATTTCATTTGTCTAGAACGAGATTTCATGTCGAATATGAGAGTTTTCTACATTTAACAAAGTTCTTGACATTTGAATTGTAGTTCTCAATATTTAATATCATGTGTATTTTTGAAATAAGTAGGGCAAGTTATGTTTCAAAATTTTATTGGCCAACAAAAATTTTAATTGTATGCACATTTTTGTTTTTAGTGTGGAATTATAAATTGTTAACAATGATATTTTGGACATAAATATTGCAAAATGTAAATAGAACAAATTTTGGACATTTTTATAAATGACCACATGAAAGTAGACATTTCTTGTGATTTGCACTTCAAAATACTTGGTGAAGATTTCGCGTTCCCGCCCCGGGGCAGCAACCACCTGCCCCAAAATTGCCTCGCCATCCCGACTAAGTGGGGCGTATGACACCTCATTTGAGACGAGTATTCAATAGGACTCGAAAATACAGGGTAAATTTCCATCCGTAGTGTGAAAAAGAGAAAATTGAGGGACTAATACTAAGTAAATTACTTTAAAGTATAAAGTTCATTTTAAAATTTTAAATGAGCTTAGTAATTGTGGTTGAAATTAACCATATATGAAAATTTTCAACAACTTTGTAAATAGACTTTTTCTTGTTAACATATTTTTCCTTTTGCCGCTAATGCCATAAATCTTGAGATCGGTTTTGGGCCATAAATTTGCTTGCTTGCTGAAACTAAAATTTACAGGGCAAACCTTCACCAAGCAGAAAAAAGCCTCAAGCTACCGCTCTTCTGAATTGAATTTGTTCCACGCTTCCTGACGATAAAAAGAAAACACAAAAACATTCAAATGACTTCAAATACAAATGCTCGTAGTATAAAGCCACATAATATTCATAGAAAGATATTTTATCACGTCTTTTGCGTAGAACCATAGTAGTTTTTTTGTATTTCCTAACATTAGAAGATGCTAACATTTGACTGGAACGTAGAGGTATGGGTAGAATTCACTTCATGGTTAGGAGGAAGGTAATTCAGTCGTAATGACATGAAGTCCAACATACTGCTGATCCGTGTTTAGGTTTCTATTATATGAAAACCAGAGTAGCAACATGAGTATGGCCTCTAACATACATATTAACAAGGCATCTTCATTTAACATGCAATGAAAGAAATGCCAGTTCGAAATCAATAAGTTATGAAATATCACATAACAGATTTCCGTCGAAACGCCAATCTCTACAACTAAATCATGAGATTGAATATGATAAATCATCGTAAGATCCATGATCAGGCACGTGGGTTGTTTTAACGGGAATGTAGGTTGTCAAAAGTCATTTCACCTGTGTACATTACAAATTGCAGATAAAAACTAATTCTAAGTGTAGGATCTTGACAAGGCTGACCTAACCAGGTCCTGTCCTGTACCTTTTGACATATGTAACTGAAGAGAAATGATGTACTAAGCACCGTTGTTTAGCTTATGCTAAGCAACATGAATATGACATGTCAATTAATTGGGAAATAAGTTTATGATAGGTCATAGGAATTAAATGATTCACCAATTAATTTAATTGTGTGCATTTAATGTATATTTTTACTGCATGTGTATATTCAGTTACAGAAAAATGTTCTACTAAGCAAACAGTGACATTGCACATAAAGTAATTGTCACACTTCACTAAAAGGTAAAGTTGGACACTGACGAATGTTTGAAATATATAAAACAGAAAGTCAAATATACTACAGAATTTCTTGTCTACTTTAACGATTTGGAAGTGGTCATTACAATGATATTCTAACCATTTAGCCCATGTTTGATCCCCATTATCTAAAAACTCTTTTTTTTTTCTCAAACTCATTTTCAACCACACATTCTCATAATAAAATATTTTACACGTAAACCCAAATTTGTTCCTACTTTTTAACCATAGATTCTCCAAAAGTTAACCATTACAAAACTTATTTTCAACACAAAAAGGGGCTCAAACATAAGCTTAATCTTTTGATACTAGAAAGCAAATTATTATCAAGCTTATCGCCAGTATTATAATGCATCCTAAAATTACCTCAGTTCACTGAAAATCGGAATGAATAACTCCAGAGACAGAGAAAACAAACCTTTAGAAGGTCAAAAACCTTCTCACATATATACTTTTGGTGAATAGTTGCACCACGCTGCTGTAATTTGTCAGGGTGTACGCAAAGAGTGGCTTTCCTGTATGCTCTTTTTACAGCTGCAGAAGTTATAACTTCAGTTAATGGAATTGGCTGCCAACCACTATCAGGCCCAAGGATCTGTCAATAATGTAAAGTTCAAAGTATGTCACTGTTTAAGGAGAAAACTGAGTGCTAGGATCAAAACATCTTGATGAATCGGTAAAAAATACATGTGAACATCCCAAAAATGAAAAACTAAAGACAATTAATAAATGGTTTGATTTATAAATATATAGAAATAAGTAGTGAATAAATGGATAGTACATGTGGGTCCATTGAAATGTGTGATTGAAAATGAAGTTTGATCATTTATAAATGACTTAGAATTCAGTAATAAATTAGCCAAATGGACACTATATTACAAATTTGGAGGCACGACCCTTGAGGTAAGTCTGACCAAAAATACTGGCTTAATTTGGTTTCTCCCTTCGCTGGCATAAGTAGCAACTTCTAAGTTCTACCGTTCCTAAGGCTCTCTCAACTTATTTAAATTCTTAATATTTGGGGGAAGGGGAGACAAAAAATTATTGATTCAGAAGCCAATGCAGATGCTTTGCGAAAAAAGGGAAAATTAAAAGATATTGTAAAGGATACAGTTGTTTGTTTATTATTTCTTTTATCATAATAAATCTGGTGGGTGAAAAGTTACAATAATTTGTGTAACTGGATGTGGATAAAAAATAATGTCTGCAAATAATAAAAGCCTTGCAAAGAGCTATTATAAGATGCCTAAGAATTGTAGTGCAAATCCAATCCAGTTCTGGACATTAAGTTAATAGATGTACCCAAACCATTCTTAAGACAACTAGATAAGAAATGAGTAGTTAGTTCAATCTCAATTTTTTTGATACCAGATATAGGAAACGCTAATAAAAGCAAAAATTACTAAAACCCTTCAGTTGATTGATTTTCAGAGGGAAAGGGGGAAAATTGAACATTTTCTTCATTGCTGGCTGCTTTCATCAATCTGTGTGTGCACAGCTGCAGGAGACTGAAAATTTTCCCCCATTTCATCGTTGATCTGTCATTTTACTCTACAGCTATGGCAAAGATGAAATATGAAACAGAGTCCACATACCGCTGCAGAACCTTTTTTTCATATATTTAATATTATGTAACATATTAGCAGAACGACAAGTAAAATAAACAACAACAAAGATTCAAGTCAAAACCTGAAGTACAGAAGCTATATGCTGTCTGATGTTAACAAAGAAATAGCATCAACCCAAAAACTTAATAGAAAATTGTACAAAAATATTAAATTTACTGTCACAAGAACGTAACAAAAGAAACATTACTTGTGGCAAAGTTCATTTTCCTACTCGGATGTTTATTTCTAAAAGAGGATGCATGACAATGTACAAGGCAGTCCCTAATGAGAGATTGTTGTGCAAAGCTTACCAGCAGTTTTGAAGCCATAAAAACGCATATCCAATTTGGTGAAAAGGGAAGAGACAATGCATTCAATTCAGTGACAGGGATATGAGAGTGTAATTAATTCTTTTCATTTTCGATTCTCTTCAAGTCATTATTCTCCTGGCAACAGAGATATGAGAATTCTTGCCCAACTGATTTCGTTCTTGATTTTCTTAAAGTCTGCTGTTCTTTTACGTGATATAGCAAATAAAATTCCTACAGGACCTAAAAGTTCTGTCAGTTTTCACCGACATTTTATTTTCACACCATCTATTTTGCCACCCCCAAACAATAGAATTGATTATCAATCAAATCTGTGCATGTTTATTTCATCTCATCTGAGACCCAAACGCATCGTTAACCTCAGTTCAAGAGCATGAACCTGTTATGGCTTATGGGAAACCACAAGAACCTTTCATGGTAACTTAAGGATTTTCCCCATTTCTCCCATCTCATATCAGAGGACAGGGAGAAAAAGTTAAGAAAATGCACAACAAATGACGTTCATGTACAAACGTAAATCATCAAATCATGCACAAAGACGTGGGATGACCATACGTATTGCAAAGTCGAAAGCAATGCACGGAGATTTCCTTCTTTTCCACTTGACCATCGCTTGACCTCAACATCCAGAGTTTCCGCAACTCTCTGCACATTTAACATATTTGATATGAGGTCATATGCAATATTAGTTAATACATCAGATATTACTCAGACAAAAGGATGCATACATTCCTCTCTTGTTGTTCTCGTTGAGCTAGAATATCACGCATATTTTTCTCTGCTAGGGCTTTAGCCTAAAATGGCACATGAAAAAGCTCAAGATCACAAAAAAGAGGCAACTCAAAAGAAGAATATAACTCCAAAAGGGAGCGATAAACATTATGAGAAGAAGGCACGCACTGCACGCTCAGCTGTTCTCTGGTATCTCTCTAACCGAGCTTTACATCTCTGAGGTGATTCACCTTCAGCTCCTACAAAGTTTTAAATGCATAAACTAGCAGCAAAACAAGCCAAATGGCACTTTTTCAGGACTATTCAAGGCAAATACTTTGCGGTAAACCAAAAGGTAGATCATATTTAAGTTCTCATATATATTAGAAAACGGAAATGTAGAATATTCCTTTGGCCATATAAATCACATACCAACATGTGCTGAAGAATATGCATATCTCAGTCCATTCGAGTTTCCTGTACTTCGAAATTGATGGTCATGAAGTTCCTACAAATAAAAAGCCATCAACCATCTGTTGAAATGCATTAGAGCAATAAATATAATGAAGAGTTCTCACAGATAGAGAAGTATTCCTCATTTCAGCACATCTGGAAGAACCCGAAAATCTATCAAGAACAGATCTTTCTACTTGTTCCCGGACCTCAAAGGTATTCTTCTCAACCAATGATTTTTTAACAGCACGTTGCCAAGCCTCTACAGCTGCTCTCTCTACCGGAGTACGATCTGTCCTGAGCCTAGCCTCCATAGAAGCCCTCTCTAATCTTTCTCGAGCCTCTGACATAGCTCTTTGTCTTGCTTCAGCAGTAGCTCTCTCCACTGCAACTCTTTCTGCTCTCTCACGAGCTTCAGCATATGATCTTTCATGAGCTTCAAGGGCTGCTCTGCCCAGAGACATCCTGTCCTTTTCTCTTTCTCTTTCTCTCTCCCTCTCTTCTTCCAATTTTCTCAGATGTTCATTTGCCAGTTCTCTTTCCCTTTGTATTCTTCCATCTACTTTACGGTCTTTTGTAGTAAAGGTCTCATTCAAATTCTTCTCTTTTCTTTCTGTGCTATGGCTTGGACCTTGTTGACCCAGTTTTAGCTTGTTCTCTCTTTCTTCTAACACAAATGATGGAGCACCAACCATTTTTTTCCCATTTTGAACCAACTCTGTGGCTGCGTGACCTGATATGGACTTATTATTGGTCTCGTTCTTCTTGATGTTGGATTGAACTCCCTTGATGCCCTTCCCACTCTCTTCTTCACGAGCAACTGCGGTCTCATTTTCATGATTACGAACAATTTCAGAGGCTGATTTCTCTGGCACATAGCACGTATTCCCCACGCAAACTTCAGCTTTCTTTGAATTTGTATTGCATTCAGGTAGACAAGTTGACTCTCCCAAGTTGTTTTCACCCTTCTTATCTTGCAAGTCATCTCCATTCTGGCTAGAAGAGTTGAATTTTCCATTAAACAGAAGATTGGTTCCATTATTGGATTCAGAATCACTGCTTTTGCATACAGTATCCAACTTTTCATTTTCTTCACTAGCAACGGCTGTTATAGTTGCTTCCAGTTCTCCAAGACTATCATGTTTCCCAGTCACGAGAGTTTCTAGTAGAGTCCCTTCATTATATTCACATCCTCCATCAAATGCCTCCAAATTACCAGCCTCCATGAACACATTCTTTTCCTGATCATTTCTCACTTCCCCATCATGCCCATTCACCTCCGTAAGCTCAATTTCTATGTCCTGCCCACTCAATTCATCCCATGTACCAGCATCCTCACTGAAGTTCTCATTCCCTTCAATATCACAAGCTGTTTGTGATCTTTTCACAATTTCTTCCTCCTTGAAAATCAGTGATGATCTCTTATCATCTTTTTGGGTACAAAGCTCTTTGTTTTCCGTTTCACACTCTTCCATCCTATATGCATCGCTTAGTCTTTCCTTAATCTCATTGCTTTCATGATCCTCCCTGCAATCCTTGTTAATACTTTTGCTTTGAGCAATCCCTCTGTATTCCATTTCATTTTCCTCCTGCTTACGAGACTCTACAAGTCTTTCTTTTCCCCCCCATGCTTTGGAATCTAGTTGTTCATCTCTACAGTTCTTTCCTCTCCCAAGACCTATATTAGATTTCCTATCACTCCTTTCATGCTTAACAGCCCCTTCCAATATCTTCTCATTCCCCTTCGGCTCAAAAGTCACTTTTTGTGTGTTTTTGTTTTCTTTTCTTGCAAGAGAAAAAATATTTTTATTATTGTTTTCTTTTTTTTCACAAGCCTTCAGTTGTTGCTTCTCTCTTTCTTCCTGCTCTAGTTTCTCTCTTGCTCTTTTTCCAGGATCTGTGTGCTCAACAGCCTCTTCAAGTCTTCTCTCACATTCTTGTCTCTCTATATTTTCTTCAAGTATCATTCCCTTTTCTCCTCCCAAATGAGCATCTTTGCGCATCATCTCACTTTCTTTTATTTTGGTGCCAGACTTTAGTTTCTGTTGTGCTTCCACTTCATTTAAATAGTACCAAGCTTCTGTGTCCACACTTCCATTAGGGTCAGGTGATACCTTTTCACTTTGTCCATGTTGCTGGATCACCTTTGTTTTCCTGTCATTCAAGTCAACTTTGCAGATCATTTCATCCAATTGTACTTCCTCTTGAAGCTTCTGATGGCTTGACTTCTTGGTTGCTACTAATCTTTCTTGATTATATGCCCAATCACAAATCAGGTATAGGTAAAGTTCAACTAAGCTTTCTTCATCCCATTTAGGAGCTTCCTTTACTACTTTAAAGTTTTTACAGTCTTCCGTCAGGTCATGTGCTTCAGTGCCCTCTTTCTCTAGATTTCTATATGAACAGGACCTCATATTTTGCACCAAAATATTGCCATCCTTTATTTTAGAAGCCCTCTTGGGTAGACTTGTATCAATAACTTCGAAAAAATCCGTTGCTTCACTCCATGCAACAGTGTCCACAGATTTTTCGACAAAATGAATATTATTTTTCCCATCTATGGAATCCAAATTTACCTTGTTATTCTCAGTCAAACTTCTTTTTTCTTCAACAAAAGGTTTTGGTACTTTGGCTTCTTTTGCGTATGATTGTGGCGTCTCATCCTTAAATCTGTTGGTAACATTTAATGTCTTGCTTGTTTTTCTCTCTTCTTCAGTGTCATTAACCAGATGCAGTTTAATATGACTCTGGAGGCCTTCGTTTCCCTCCACCGACTCTTTTGCTTGAGCTCTCTCTGTTGCATCTTTCATGGCTTCAGCAGATGAAGATGCATCTACTTCCACATCAAAGAACAGTGACGAACTGTCACTTCGTTCAATGACAGAATCATTAAAAGCTTTAAGTTTTGCATTTGGTTCATCAGATTCTCCATTTTTAACAGCAAAGGCAGGTGGTGGTCTTGAAGGTGGTGGCAGTCCAGAAGGCTTAGTTCTGAGGCTGATATCAGATATAGTTATAAATGGCTTACTCGATGTAGATTTTGGCTTTTCTTGCTTCTCATACAGATCATGTTTTGTCTCACTATTCGAGGGGTGTGACAGACCCTTTATGAATATTTTCTCTTCTGCGCTTGTCCAGCCAGGACCCACACTGCTGTCAAGATCATTAGAAACATATAAAGAGGACCTCTCATCTTCACTCGTCTGGGAAACTGACATATCATTAAATGTGTAAGCATATCCAGAAATAGCAGGTAATTGAGTTACATGTGTGGATCCAGTCGCTATGTTTTCCATGCTTCTTTGGTTAGACTTGTGAGAAGAAACATTGGACAGCTTAATGTCATCAAATGACTGGAGATGGTCTCCATTTGACAAGCTTCGGTGTTTTCCAGAACTAGCTGAAGGGTCTGATTCAACCGACAAAGACTCACTTTGAGCTGGACTCCTATGTCAATACACAGCCAAAACATTTCATAATCACAACATTGCACAATCAGAATTCTTATTTAATACTATAAAATTAACTATAATTACTTCCAAATCATTGTCTTTAGGGCACAATGCACCGAGAAACAAATAATACCACGTCAAATTCATAGAAGGTTTATGTTGAACTACCTCATATAAACATTTAAGTTGTTAGAGAAGGGAGACAATTATTTATTTAAATTGCCTTCAACACACCCCTCATGTGCAGCCAGATTCATTTTATTATATGACAATCAGCAAAAGAGAACAAGACAAGGAATTTGCTTCTATTAGCAAGAATGTATATTAGGATAAATTGCCATTACTCATCCATAATCTCATCCTGCGCGCAGATAAAACTTCTGGAATATTATATTAATTTCAATAATATTAGGACCCACTAAAATTTGGAACCAAAAATTTGTGACTTCGAAATTTTTAGCCACCCACAAAATAACAGATTACTTATTTATTTTCTTTGAGGGGATTGCAAAATTTAATGCCTTTAGGAAATCACCTGCAAACTCGCTCTCTCTCTCTCTCTCTCTCTCTCTCTCTCTCTCTCTCTCTCTCTCTCTCTCACACACACACACACACACACACACATCGCGTCAATATAACGCACTGCTGTGAAACATTTTTGTCACAGTTACCACTAATTAACTAATATATCCATAAAGACAAAATGTTCAACAAATTCTCAAATTTCTGAACATTTTCTAAAGCAAAAGTGAAAAATGAGCAGCATACCATGCATCCTCCGAGGAATCATATCCGCCGCTGGAATGTCCAACCAATTCCTCATACGACAATGCGAAATCCAAACCGCCGAAATTTCCGAAAATCTCCGAATAGTTGAAATCAGGACTCCGTATATCAAAATGAAATCCTGCCTCCACATCAATTACAGGAAGATCCAAAACCGGAATGGAAGGAGATCGAACCGAGTGGAAGCCACCGAAAATCTCAGTGTAGTCCTCAAACCGAGGCGCCAGTGTGGGTAGTCCGAACTTCGGTGGGCCCCCAAAAACATCGTCGTACACTGACTTGTTAGAAATGTCGCCGGTTCCGGCAAAATTCCTCTTGGGAAGTGAATGAGAAATGTTTTCCATTGATTTTCCCTCCCTCCAGGATTTGAGGTGAGAAAGTGAAAGCTCAGTTCAGTTAGAGAAGGGAGTAATGGGGGAATATAAGGGAAATATTTCGCTCGAGGTCACTTGATTTACAGGTTTATAGCTTATTGGTCCTTTAAATCCCAGCTTATTTCAATTTGATCACCAAAATTATGAGGAGGTAAAAAATTCGAACTTCAAAGCATCCCCAAATCCAATCATTGTGTGAATTGAGATCTGTGACATATTTTTCTAATTTACACAGCGTTGATACCTAATAAATATATGGCTGAGTTTAAATTCCATCTTGATGGATTCCATTTAAACCCGTGTTTGGTATGCATTAAAAATTTTTTCTTCTACTCATTTTCAACCACACATTCGTCAATAAAATAATATTTTTCATTATATAAATAACTTTTCATTCTTTTTCAACCACAGATTCTCCATCAATCTACAATTTCAGAATACATTCTTTCAAAATAATGTGGCTCAAACACACCCTAAAATTCAAAATTTATCTTCAATGTTTACATAATAAGACAGTAAAAAAATAAAAAACAAGAAAGAGAAAATTTAAATTTTGCTGACTAATTTCGTCTGGCATAGTCTCTACATCTAAACTAATCTCTTCACAATATCTATTTTTTCTTGCCACGTCAATTAGACGGTTCCACTTAGGTTGCATTAGAGAGGGATCCCTGTAGATAATTTGTATTTTGCTTATGCGATCCATATTAAAATTGGAGATGCTCTTAGAGGGGTACCAAAAATGACATGAAATGGGCTTTTGTAATCAAATTGAAAGAAACAAGGAAGTAGAATGACTTCCAATGAAATTTACATGGAATAGAAGTGGGGTACTGGAAATGACATAAATGGGCTTCTTTATAGTCATCAAGAAGAATCTGTGATTGGAAGACTGGTACGGTTTTATGTGGATATTGTTAGTTGAAATGACAATTATGCTCATGTAAAACTGGAGAGCGTGATGGACACTCTCCTATAAGAGTGCAAGATTGTCTAGCATTTGGGGACCATCATTTTTAGAATAATGACTTTTTATCTCCCGTCCCACCAAATACAATAGAAAAGAAAAAGAGTAATGTGATTCATCATTAGTAAGGTTACAAATACAATTTAAGTGACTTTAAATGATAAATTAAATGATTTATTTAATTTTACCTATTATTTAATGTTACATTAATGTCACTTAGACTGTATTTGTAACCCCAACGAGGATAGATAACATTACTCAAAAAAAAAAAATAATAATAAGTAAAAGTAAAAAAAATATCTATAATAGTGGCAATGTTTTAAAAGTTCTTACTTATTTTTATTGATAGCCTCATTCCCTGCTGCTTGAGGATCACCTATTGTACAGTTCTGCATTTTCCTCACATCGAGAGTCCGAAAGCAGGGATTGAGATCGCAAATATTTACATATTTGTCTTTATAAATATATTATAAAAGTAAAAGTGTGGAATTAGTTGTCACATAACAATCGATCTATTTGACAATAGGCTAAACATTTACGATCAACCACGTTCTGAGCTCTGCATAAGTTCTTGATTGAGATTCAATTTAAACATTGTAGAATCTTACATTTAGCCATTGTTTAAATTATTCGAAAATTATTTTTTATTGCTATTATTTTCAATTATACATTCTCAAAAAAAATTCAAATTATCGAATAATCAATTTCACACGAGATTAAAATTTCAATTTTTTTTATAGCAACAAACACACATGAGAGAGAGAGAGAGAGAGGGAGAGAGAGACGTGCAGCCAACTAAAGAGCACAAATGCAGAAGTCAAAGCTAGTTTTTTATATGCGTTTTGACGTTGACGTCTTACCCTTAAAAGACAATATTGTTATTTAAATAAGTGATTAGCAGGCTTTCATTATTTTAAAGCTTCGAATTTATGTAGACTAACTGCTCTAATCGAATCGAATGTCTAACCTTCCCACATTTGAAGACAGACTATCACTGGCGGATCGGGGGTCTTGGGGGGCACGTGCCCCCAACCACCAAATAGGGGCAAAATCACCAGAAATTTGAATTTCGATAACATGCTAATTTTAAAAATTCTCTGACGATCGTACGCTAATTGAATCTACAAATTGCTTATGTCATCTCAAAACTTATTTCGAGAACTACATTATGGGCATATCGAATAGTCCAAACAGATATCGAAAATAGTTAAGATACGTTAAACGTGAGTATTAAAGAAACGCTTCCAACTTACATTTTCTTTGAAAAAAAATTNTCAATTATTTCATTAACATTTATTATTATTGCGATACAAATTTCTCAAATCATTTTATTAGGAAATTTTATATGAAATATAACATCAAACATTTTCGAAATTTTACATTCGAAAAAGTTATATCCCATGTAAATTTTCGAATGCAAAATTACATGGGGTATGATTTTTTTAGACGTAAATTTTCGATTGTAAAATTTTTCCCAACTTTTTTTGTAAGTTCAACTTTAAAACTTGTATTCGTCCCTGCAGACTATAGATTAAAAATCCAATAAAAATTATAAATAAAATATGTGATTAATTTAATATTTGACCTTAATCTTAACGTTTTACATTGCTTAAACTATTCCAAACAAGCATTAAGATTAACTTAAAAGAAGAGCTAAATTGCTAAACTTTTTTTTTTTTTTTTGGGTTATTCATAAAATCTTATACCGTTTAAGTACAAAAAAATAAAAAATTTTGATAATTCTTAAACAAAGTTGTATTTTAAGATGAAATTTCAAAACTCGATATGATATTAAATTCTAAAATGCTCAAACGGGCAATTAATATATCTAAGTCTCACACGTACGAAAAATAACAATCATTATATAATCGTTCTGATTGCTCCTCTAATTGAATTGGCTTTCTAACGATCATATTTTTCATTTTTATGGATGAAAAATGAGAAACAAACGGAGGCTAAGATAAAATTTCAACACAATTTGAATATTTCTTTAATTAAAAAGATGAAACAGTAAAAGAGAGAAGTACTACTTTATTTTTGGCTAATAGTGAAAAGCTAAAGCTATTATATACCTACTTTATCAATAGTTTAATATTCTTAAGAAAGAAAAAAAATAGAAGCAAATATCAAAACCTAATCATTCCTACGTTTCAATTATCCATTCAATCTTGTAATCTACGGATTCTACTCATTATTATAGTGGTACAACTTGAAAGGAGTAACATTATAATCCGTAGCGAAGGAGCATTATAATCCGTAGCGGAGGAGTCAGGACTCGAAAGGAGTAAAACCTAATTTAACTATAGAAAAAAAAATGCACAAAAAAATATAAAAATTTTAAAAATAAAAAAATTCTTATAAAAATAAATTTTTCAAAGTTTAGTGGAGCTGAGGACCTCACCGGCCTCCACCTCCCTCCGCTACTCAGGGGCGGAGCTAGAAATGTGTCATACACGGGGCAAAAATTTTTAAAATTGAATATACGAATAAAATTTATATATAATTAGAAAAATTGTAATATAACGTTACATATTACAATTGTACCCGACGATATTTTATAGCA